GACCAGTCACTAAAGAGGAAATAAAGGGAAGGAAAATTGAGAAAGAAGTAAATAAAAGAAGGGGGATATCAGTTGCAATTTTCCGAAAAACAAGTTGCGGATCGGGATGGGGGTGGGGCAAAAGGCCTTTGCCTCCCCCGCCCCCGCTAAAAAAAAAGAGAGAGAAGGAAGGAAAAGGAAAAAAGGAGAGCTAAAAGGGACCAAAAAAGAGGAAGAAGAAAAAAAAGGGTGAAAAGAATTTCGATGCGGTGTTCGAGTAGAATTCTGTGAGATGATGATATACTTTCTCGTAGCTTGATGTGACGAGATGTCTCTATAGTATTATAGAGTATAGAAGCCTGAAATGACCTTCTGCTCGTAACCGACAAGTCACCGCATTAAAATTAAATTGCAAATAGTGTTCAACAACACGATGGTGGATGAAACTTTCTAATATTCGAAGATATATGACCTTCAGACCATATTGTTTCATTATTTTTTATTCAATCAATCAACGTCAAAGAATTGATTTATCATCGCTCTTCAATTTATTATTTCACCTTTTAATGTACTTTCATTCTTATGAATCACGAAAGAACACTGAATTGGATTCTTCAATGTTTGTTTTGATTAATTTCCTCCCCTTTCCTTCTCCCTGTTTAATACTGATAAAATTTCAATTTTTCTTAATCAAGGCAAAATATTATTTTCATATTTTCTTTATGCAAGACAGGAAGAGAGAGAGAGAGAGAGAGAGAATAAATATGTTAAGTGAGAATTATCGAGTACAACTATGAATTGCATCCTTTTCAATATTATTCAATTCGCTGAAAATATTCAGAATATGAATATGATAAATCCTCATAATACACAAACGCTGTTCAACGCATCCAACGCTCCAACCATAGCCCATACGCCAATGCACCATATTTCTCAATATGAAAAGATTTTTAAATGAAATTTGAAGAAAAATCAAATTTACAATGCACTGACAGGCATCAGTTGAAATCATGAATTCCCTGTGACTGGCTTAGCACTAGTTTCACTAGTTGTCAGTGTCACAAAAAAATAAAGTATTAACCGTAATTAAACGCCTAAAATCCCTGAGCTTCTGGGGCTCTGGCCCTGGACCCAACCGAGGGCCCTAAGTCGGGCCCCTTGATACTCAGCTGACCGTAATTTAGTGCCTAAAACCCTTGAGCCGAGTCGAGAACGGTACAGCGAATCGTCTTCTTTCTCTAATGATTTAATGAAACGTCAACGCTTTCGCGCTTCGCGCGGGAGGGTGGGGGGGGGGGGTGGAACCGAATTCAGACAAGAATTAAGAATCGAGAATGGTACAACGAATGGTCTTCTTTCTCTAATACTTTAATGAAACGTCAAAGCTTCCGCGCTTCGTGCAAGAGGGGGTGGGGCTGGCTTCAGACAAGGATTAAGAGTCGAGAACGGTACAACGAATCGTCTTCTTTCTCTAATGATTTAATGAAACGTCAAAGCTTTGGCGCTTTTCGGAGGAGGGAGTGGGAAAATCGCCCCTCCCTGCACCCCCCCCCCCCATTACGTCAATGCTGGTCACCATTACGTACCAATATTTGGCTCGCATAATTTCAAATTTGCCCCCCCCCCCCAAGAAATCCTGGACCCGCGCCTGCCCGTGATGACATTCTCTCAATTTCTTCCCGTTCTGCACATAATGTCCTCCTCATTATTCGGAGCAACCTTATTTACATTCTTTCTTTACTTTTAGTCTTTACCATATCCTTCCAAAACACAGGGGGCGGATCTAGATTTTTCCTCAGGGGGGGGGGGGGGGTAAACCAAATACGATGTGGAGCATCGTCCACGAGCCGCGAAGCGGCGAGGCGATTTTTTTTGGTGCTATTTTGAACCCCCGTTAGTGATGTTTTCCTGGCATCTATTGAAATCTAAGTAACTGTGTAGGTCTGGACACATGATAGCATTTTTCTATTCACACATTTTCACTTGGCAGCCCAAGGGGGATCGGGGGATTAAACCCCCTAAACCGCCTAGATCCACTCCTGCAACATCTTTGCTGATCTTCTTCTCAATATTGATTTATTGGTCGAGTTACATTATTTGCTGGTCTTTTAGAACAACCAGATTTCAGAGGATTCACACTTTTCACAACGAAAAACTTCTCCATGTTTCAGTCCTTGCGCGATCGTCTCCAGCTCCAGCAGATATTGGGCGTCAGCGTGCACACCGGTACGTACTACTGGCGCAGCATGACGGCCGCATTAGCTGTGCACTGCGAGCTTCCGTTGTTTGTATCGGTAATACTCATAGAGATGGGAGGGAAAGCGCTATCTAAGTTCCATTTCATTGGTATTGTGTTAAAGTTATATAAGAAAAGATAATCTTTTTTTTAATAATTCCACGGGGACGATTTTTTATTTTGCAATCGCCCCCGTGGGCAACCTGACGTGGGCGATTATGGAGCTCACGGGGGCGAATCGCCCATCGCCCCCGTGTATTTTGAGCGCTGCTTGTGACGTGTTGTTAATAAATTCAAAACTCGAGCTGCAAGAAAATGTATGAAACGTCGACGCGAAAGACGTTGATTTGAACACTAGATGGCGCCGGACTACAATTACATTTTAAAAACTTAGATCATGCAATGCTGGGGGTGTTCATGCCTGTTTGAACTTAATTGTGCCTTCTGATAATTATGTCTGACGTAGTAATTAATAAGAGTAAACCTGCATAAGTGGATAATTCGGATTGCAAGGTTATGAATTATTATCTCACTTAGTTTAATGGCGCAGCGTAATTTTTTTGTATAATTACAGCGCGATTCGCTCACTTGCATTTCTAAAAAGTAAACCGAACATTGATATTCGGTTAGAAGCTTCCCCCTCCCCCAATCTGATGGTATATTAAGCCCGCCGTAAGCCTGTGAGATTAAAGTTATAGTATAACTGGGCACCTTTTCTCGACTTAAAACATTTGAATCATATCAGTGCAATTGTTTAAATATCACAGTGGAATCAACCTTTTGGTACCCCCAAAAGTGCCCTCTTTTACTTTAGATATGTGCCCCCTTTTCTTTCAAATATGTGCCTGTTCCACGTTCTTATAAGTGTTCCTTTATGATTTTGATAAGTGACCCCTATAATTGCCCCACTCATATATGAGAGGTGTCCTTCTTACTTTGACAGGTGCCCATTTTCACCTTTGATAAGTGCCCCTTTTTAAATTATGAATTGTGCTTCTTTTCCTTTCAAATAAGTGCCCCTCATCTTTTTTAATAATTGCCCATTTCTCTCATAAATGTCCCTATTAAATCCGATATGTTCCCCTTTTCTTTTGACAAAATAAATGTACCTTTTCCATTATAATAAAGTGCCACTTTTTAGTTACTAGAAGTCCCCTTTTTTCACTTCTGTTAAATTATTGCCCTGTGTACTTTGACACGTACCACTTTTTTTTAATTTTATAAGAGCACCTTCCCTTTTTCATAAATTCCCCTTTTCACCTCTGATAAATGCCCCTATTAAAATATGAAAGGTGCCTCTTTCTCTGGTGAGTCTCCCGTTTCAGGTATTAGAAGTGCCACATTTTTACCTATGATAATTGCCCTTTTTGCTTTGACATGTGCCCCTTTTTCCCCCTTTTGATAAGTGTCCCTTTCCCTTTTGATGTGTGCCCCCTTTTCCTTTTACCACTAAATGTGCCCCTAATTAAAAGCGCTTAAGAACAACTTTTCTTTATCTTCCCTAAGCTCACAAGCATTTGTAGTTGATAATATTACGTTTTTTTTTTATTAAAGGTCTTGTCAATCTTTCATGATTAGATTGTGCTTAAAACACCATCATGATTTCCCCCCTAATTTCTAAGATGTATTTTTTCGCACTGCGACCTCACAAATCTTTAAAATTAATTAAGACCACCACATCCAGTTGTAAAGTATGATGATTAAGTAGTATCTTGGACCATGTAAAAAGAGAAATAAAATTGAAATCATCCCTGATAATGTAATCACGATGTAGGTGTAAATACCAATGTCTAAAAGTTGTATTTCCCTGTGTAGGTGCCCTTTTTGTTGGTGTCCCCCCCCCCAACTTTGGGGGAAAATGATCTAGTACTATAGCTGGCGGTATAATCTTCATACAGCCCATCACCCGATCAATATTTAATGATTATATGGCGAGTCAGAATATATGGCAAGTCAAATATGTAAAACATCAAAGAATAATAGCGATCGATCACTAATAATTATAGTTCGGCAGTCACTTATTACGAAGTAGTGACATCTCAGTTGATTTTATTCATTTTGTATCAGCTAGGCTTCTTCTCGTTGTCTAAGATAATTATGACATATGCCATCAGTTTAATATTGTCCTCATGAAAAAAAAAATGATGTCTTCAAAACCTTCACGACTCTTCGAGTCTCTCAATGTATTCCACAGATTATGAGAGTGACGCAATACTTTTGTAGAAGTGGTGACTTAAACAATAATTTTTTGGCAGTCAGGAACATCTTCATTCAAACTGAGATGTGAACTTATAACCAAACGATTCTTTTTTAAATTTGCTATGAGCAGAAGAAATTAATCTTGTGTGTGGTATATTTGTATTAATTTTGGTTTTAAAGGAAGTAAAGAACAAACTTAATGAAATGAAATATTATTATCTGTGAAAGAATAAACCACAATCTTTCCCTTTTCTTTATTTTCTCCCCTCCACTCTGTCTGTGTGTGACTGTTTTAAGGTTTATTAGTCTTTGTCAGCTCTTACCACTTGTATGCATGGGCTGGGTGCATCCCCTCCAGTTTGGGACTGCATGTACAAAATAATTCGGGCTTGTGAGAGATCATCCGAGATGGGTACGGTTTAGGTTTATTGACCCAATCCGGAAGTCAATATACTGTGACTGGGGTACTGCGATTGCGCATTGGAAACAACTTTTCCAACACCTGCGAGAAATGACTCGATAAATATCAGCGGAACGTTATACACACAATACTGTGGTGCACTGTTGAACCTACATAAACGTTATGTACAGCTTATGGCATACACTGTATCACCTGGGGAGCTCATACAGTAACGTACATTCTTATTGTGCGTAATTCATATCGCGTATAACAAGGGAACGCTACTTCAAAACAGACACGTTAGTGGAGTTTAAAAACACTTGCACTAATTGCGAAAGACAGCTTATTATTTCTTTTTATGGATTTTTGAACACAGTGAAGGACCTAGGATCATGATGTAGACCTCGGTTTTGAAATAGGGATTGACCATTTTAGACATCGAGTGATTGAAGTTCGAGCTAGACTGGGCTCGTTACCGGTTAGCAGAGGCTTGACACGCGGAGGAGTGCCCCGCTAGACTACGAAGATACGGAGTCGAGTGGACGAAGCCAACGGGCAGCCGCTGCTTAGTATGAGCTTATCGGGCTGCCCGCACGTAGCTGCCTTCAAGAAGAGCAAAGGAACAAAGCCGTTTAGAATTATTCAAGCTTTCTTTGTGTCATGTAGCTCTGTCGAAAATGTTAAGAGAAAAGTGAGCATTACTTGAGTCCTGTTGATGTATTGTTAGCTTTAAAACAATTGATGCATTAATGATGAATTCAAGAATTGCTGAGATGAAAAACTGAGTGAATTCAGCAGCGTTATTGTTTCCTTAGATCATGTTTCGTGAATGAAGAAATAATGTATTTCAGCAATCTCTCATTCTCTTGTATATATCCTAGCTGTAATAATAATAATGCAACACTTTCTTAGTTTGATGACGTATCTACATGTATGAGTGTTGATCCTGAAGATAATGCCATCGAATTTTGATAGTCACTTCACTTTACTTACCATCGTCTAGATAGACTAAGTTACAGAAGTTAGTCTAGTCTATATGCATTTTGTTATACCTCAGTAGTCAGTCGCACCGCCAAACCGACTCCAAACTGAATCTAAACTGATCGATCCATTGCCATCGGGGGTAACGTGACAGATTGTTCACTCTGTAGTTGATCTACATCTATGCCCCGTTTCATAAAACTTATTATCAATAGCAAATTCTAAATTTCTATGGAAAATTTGCAATCAGTCAATCATATGCCAGGATTTCAGTAGCTTATAACAGATATTGTAACTTGTTATTGATTACAATTTTTATGAAACGGGGTCCTGGTGTCGGTCTTGTTGGTGTGACTAAGGTATTAAGTACCAGTATTAATCCTTTGACTATGGAGTATGGTTTCTTTCTGTGTCTTTTTTTCTTTGCTCAGGCTCGGGCAGGTAGCTGTCACGTATGCCAGCAGTGTAACCAACGTCTTCATGCGTGCCTAACTTGTGTGTTCTTCGGCTGCTACACCATGGGCCATATACAAGACCATGCCAGATCCACCAAGCACAATCTTGGTAGGTTCATAGAGAGAGAGAGAGAGAGAGTCAATACCAACAACATCTGAGGAGAGAATGGATGCAGGATTCTCTGCTGGAGCTTCTTTACCCTTGTCTGAATGGAGTAAAAGATATGAATGTTTTCCTTCGGTCGATATCAACAGAGAGAAAGGATTAAATTTGTTTATCCCTTAGTCCAATTGAGTGAAATAGGGTATTGTAGCATCTTAAGGGCGGGAGTAGTTTGGGAGGATCAAAGTTATTTTGCAGGTTGACAGCCTGCTTTGTGATATTAGATACCCTTGTCAATACCCTTACCTGGATATTTTACCCTTGATTGTGGAGAGGGGGGGGGGGGGGGGGGGGGAAGGGGGATCTGAAGTTCTCCACACTTGCTGTGAGTACCAAGTGTGCAATCTCTAAGAGGGTGTATACAACTTTATTGAATGTCTCTATAAACAATACCTTTTGCATCTGTGTCATAAAGTAAGGGTCTTTATTGTTTTGATTTATTCACATCAGTAAGACATTTCCTTTCACCTATCGTTGTTTGTTACTTACAGCCGTAGACATGACTCACGGGACAGTTTTCTGTGTGCCGTGTGGAGACTACGTCTACGACTCTGAGTTTGAACAGATATCACAGGAGGAGAGATTAAATTGTTCAAAATTCCATGGTATGTATATACAACGCATGGAGAATTCTCTCTAAAGGGTTGTTCACATATTCCGGGGTCAACCGCTGCAGTTTACTGTGGCAGATCTTTTTAGAACTACTGGGGGGTGTTTCACAAAGACTAAGATCGACTTAAAAGTCGATCTTAGTTTTTTGTGAAACACTCCCCAGGTATATGCATGGCAAGTGGGGATGGAATTAGAAGCTGTGTGCAACAAAGATCCTACTGGTACTCTCTTATCTATGAGATCTACATGTATACAACAATTGAGTGTGGTACACTTGATTTTTTTTGAAGGGTTTTGATCCAACCAGGTTCTGTTTAATTGGAGAATCCCTGTAAAAGTTTTCTGGAAAATTCCTGAGGGAACACTGAAAAGAAATTAGAACGTGACGCACATGTGCGCTATATAAGAAGCCACCATTATTATTATTATTATTATTATTATTATATTCTACCTATGGATGCGTAGATCAGATTGTGTTGGATTTGTTTAACCTGTTGCCTACTGGAGCGGGGTGGTTCCTATAGTAAACCTATGGGTAATATGTTAAATTGGTTGTCAATGGGTTCAGTCAGTTTAGAGAATCTGATTTGAATTTTTAAAAAAAATGAGGAACTTTTATCAACTCTGACTGTAGACAACCAACTAGTAAAAGCAAATTTTTTGAAATAATACCGGTTAATTTACCATTAGGTTTACATTTTGTATAGTTTGTATTTTCATAGAATGCAACCGAAGGATAGGCAAGTTTTCCACAGACTCTGTGACCTCTGCTTATCAGAGTAACAATGAAACTGCAGTGGTTTAGAATGTTGTATGACACATGCTCCAGCAACAATTACATACAGTAACTGAATTCCTAAATTTAACCCTTTCTCTAAACCTAGCCCTATCCCTTATCCAGAGTTCAACACTAACAGGTGCCTGGAACACATAGGCACCTACAATTTAAGTCTGGACACCTAAATTTCAAAATTCTAGCATAGGGCTAATGCATACAGACACTACTTCCAAAAAGCATCTAGACGATCTAGCCCATGAGCCCTATCTTATCCTTAACCTAATTGCATCCTTATCCTTAGTGTTAACCAAATTCCAACTCTAACCCTAACCTGATACTGTACCTTTAGTTGAAATAAAACCCAGAGGAATTGTCGCAGGAGCAATTGTTGGATCACCTTTTGAGAAACCTCAGGGAATCTTGAATGTCCTTGTTGAAATTGCTGCAGTGATGTGTTGAAACGGTTTCTCTGTATTTCCTGTTGACAGGTTCTAGTGTTCAAGGCTTCTCTGCATGGGAAGCCACAGGCTATGAGATAGAGCTTCTCAGGAGGAACCCTACCAGAAAGAAAGTATCAGGAAGCTCTACAATAGGTAAGACACAGCAGGAGGGGGGGGGGGGGGGGGGGGGACATGGGGTTGCAGGGGAGGGGTGGAATGTGATGATCGTCATTTTACACAAAGTTGGCCCACTGTGGGCTTCAAACAGACTTCAAACAAACTTTCTTACAAACAGAAAGAAAGTATTCAGAAGCTCTACAATATGTACATCACCTCAGAAGGGGAGGGGGTGGGGGGGGGGGCAAATGGATGGAGGGAGACAGAAAATAGGGTTGCGGGGGAGGATGGGGTGTGGTGATCATGTGGAGCCAAAAGGCTGTCATCTCACATCATTTCACTCACAGTTAGTCTGCTTTTGGCTTCAAACAGACTTTAAACAACCTTCCTTACAAACAGAAAGAAAGTGTTAAGAAGCTCTACAATAGGTAGGCCATTCAGGGTACTTGAGAGCTCTGGGACATGATTGTATGATAGTCAAAAGGGCTTTACTACATTAAGTACCTATTAAGGTCCTTTAGACTCTAGGCAGACAATTGATGTTAATCATTCAATGGAGTTACAGTATACAAAGGAATAGAAGAAGCTCTACAATAGGTGGGTCAATCAATCAAGGTGAAAGCAGGACAAAGAAGTGGAGGAAACTGAAAGAGAATGAGTAGCAAATATACTCTTCCAGAACCAGAATTATGCTCAGCTGTTTTTTCTACTCCACTGTGGAAAAGAATTCATTGATTTAAGTTGGGAAAAATCAGATGGATTTTCATTATATTTTTGTCTCAAATTTTATTTTTTCTGATCATAGTTCAAAAATATAGTAATATATTCAATATTAAGGAGGATAATTTTCTTTTAGGAACCCCATCGTCAGCATCTTACAAGGGGTTACTGTGGTTAGGATGAGACCTCCAATTCTAGTCTCGAGCATCCTCCTCATTTAGACCAAACTTACTGCTCTCTTTCTTTCTTCACCATTTCTTTCCTTGAAATCTTCAGTCTTTCTTTCCCTCTAATGTCATCCACTTCAGATCCCACACCTTTTTTCCACTCTCCGTGGCAACTAGCCTGCCGGCAACATACTGCATGTCATATTTGATGGCGTGTCCGTAGATGATAATCACCATCAGTTGTTGCCATGTTGGGCAAATGTTTGTTAATTTGTGGGTCAATTAAAGCTACTTTTGTACAAGAAATATCAGATTAAAAGTACTAATTTGTCTGTAATTATATGAGCTCGGTTTGAAAATTGCCGTAAAACAAGCAAGATTTCATCACAATTTTCTGTATTCTACTCATTCAGTTCAACCTAACCGCTGATCTAAATATAGTTTAACACAGGACACTTTAGACCTCACACTAACTTCCTATTAAACCCAATTTTGAACAACGGCTTTAGCCAAGCGTCCGGTATAAATTACAGGCAAAAGAGTTGTATTATTTTTTTAAAGAGATAGCTCCTTTCCAGCTCTCCAGAACTGAATTAGTAAGCATTCCTGTGTATCCTGTTTTATTTTATTTTTTACTAAGGAGTATGCAAAACACTTGAATGCATCAATTTGTATCCGTGAGTACTATATGTCTTTTACACATCATATGTGTTTGTGATTGAAGCAAACTGAACTATTTCTCTTGTATTCTTTTCTTCCTTCCCAGGTCTACGGGGGCTGATCAACCTAGGTAACACATGTTTCATGAATTGCATCGTTCAGGCTCTGACCCACACTCCTCTTCTCAGGGACTTCTTCCTTTCAGACAAGCATCACTGTGAAAACGAACGCAGTAGAGATAATTGTCTTGTGTGTGAAATGACCAGGGTATTTCAGGAGGTAAAAAGCTTTCTAGCCCCCCCCCCCCCCTTCCCCCGGAAACTTGCCCCCTATGACAATTACCCTCTAGGATAATCACTCTGTATGTATGTGTGTATGAGGAGGGGGTTGAACATGATATCCTGTCTTTTGGCAATTGTCTTCGGAAGTGATTGTCCAAGGGGGTAATTATCCTGGGGGGGGGGGGGGTAATTTTCAGGGGGATAATGCCCTCCAGGGGAGGGGGGTGGTTGTCATTGGGGAGTAATTTCCGGGGGGAGGGGAATTGTCTGGGGGGGGGGGGGGGGGGGTAATTGTCCTGATATGATTTTTGTGTAATTATATACCCAGTCAAAGTTCAAGTATACAATACCGGATGCAAATGGTCCTTCATTCTGCTAAAATCATTCTACAAAACTTGCAGACCCCATGTTTAAAAAAAAAAAGAAGGAATGCAGATAAGAAAGCCTAACATTTAAGATTAAGACATAATCAGAGATATTTATATTTTTTCTTAAACTGACATTTTCAAAATGGGCAGTATCAGAGTCAGATTTAATGCAATCATCTAAATGAATGGCAATGCTCCTCACTTCTTACTATGGTTATTGTGTGTCTGACTAAATTTAGGCAATTAGTGCCTTTCTTGACTTTTTTAGATTCCACACCGATTGCAATCACATCTTCCTCTTTGTGATAGGGCTGCATTACAAAAAGATTACAGGGAAGGAAGATCTCTAGCAAAAGGAATCTAAAGTATTTGAGAATGTACTGTACCTACAAATTTTTGACTGTTTTGACAATCATTATTTTGTTGCTGTAATGCATGTAGCATATCAAACAAAGCATTAATGTACCAATCCACCCACTTGTAACTACACAGGATTCTTATGTTTATTAGGACTCCAAAGAGGAAACTAACAATGCATTGATTTTGTGTTTGAATCTGTTCAGTTCTATTCTGGAATCCGCTCAGTGCACATTCCTTATCGGTTACTACATCTGGTTTGGACTCATGCAAGGCATCTAGCTGGCTACGAGCAGCAAGATGCCCATGAATTCTTCATTGCTGCATTAGATGTCTTACACAGACATTGTAAAGGTAGGAATTATTATACAAACGATGCATGAGCATGAATTCATTATACTATCTATCCGCACTCAAGTTGTGTGTATCTATTGCACGTAGCCTTTGGGCTGAGTGCGATAGATACACACAGCATCAACGAGGGCGGATAGATCGTATAATGAACGAATGAAAACATGCATCATTTGTTTTATACGACGAAACTCCTAGATCCTTGTTATTTGATGTAAAAAGAATTCATTCAAGATTGATTCATGACAGTATGTGACTGAAAAATAAATCTCAAGTTTAATAAGGCTTAATTTAGTGCACACACATATCTATTGATATAGCAAGCCCACTTACCTCTATACCCATTTACGCATAGTGCTGCGCAAGAATAGGCTCATATATGCACATGCAGTATTAACGCTCTAACCTCTACATGCACTACAACGCACTAAAAAAGCCTGCAATAGGACTGGAAAATATTGCACGCTTTTTCATGAAATAGCGTGCAATAGGCTCAGTAAATGAATCACATGTGACCGGGCATGACCAATCATTTGATTAGGATCTGGGAGTGTGTTGTATAAAGTGTAAACTTGACATACCAGGGCTCCGTCTTACAAATAGTTGTGATTAATTGCAACTATGAACATAAGTGATAGGAGACTGCAAACTTGTGATTGATTCAGTATTGATTCAGATCAATCACAACTCTTAAAGACAGGACCCTGTCATATTATAGTAGATATAGTGATGATAACTGTTATTTATATCACGCCTTACTAGTTACTTAGCCATCCTCTTAAAGCACTTTCCAGCGTGTTAGTATCCGGGTTGTTGGATTGAATTGCATCCTGTAATGGTGATGCTAACTCTGCACAGTTTCTTGCTGCAAAAAACTGCTGTAACCATTAGAATGTTTCATGTTGCGACAGATCCCCATTTACATTACCTAAATTCTGCACTTCAGAGTTATTTGTATTTGTAGGCGAAGAGAATGTACTTTGACTTTTTGTTTGTTTTGTATTTGTTTCTTTGCTCAAATGACATTCTTCTGATTCCTCAATAGGCTCTTTTTGTAATGTAACCCAATTTTAACGCATACGTCTTTGTGAAGTGCCTCGATACAAATTATTGAATTCACCTGTTACGATAATTGTATTTTAATAGTCAGAATGCGAATTGCATATATTAGTTGTTGCTAAGTTGCTGTTGCCCTACCTACCCATGTAAAATATGCAATTTGCATACTGATTTTTGAAATACAATTACATGTTACAGGTGAGGAAATAATTTCTATCAAGGCACTTCTCAATGACATATTATTTAAAATTTGGCTACATTATGAAAACGGCTTATTGTACATATTATCGTTCGTTAATTACTTTTTTGCTTTTATCCAGGGCACAATGGAGCTTCAGGCAATAACCCAAATCATTGCAATTGTATCATTGACCAAATCTTCACTGGAGGGCTGCAGTCTGATGTAACTTGCCAAGCATGCAAGTAAGTCTCATTACAAGTCATCGCTATAAAAAATGAAGAAAAAAAAAATCATTCGTTGAGATCTTGAAGGGTTTTAAGCCCATCTGTACTAGTTTGGCTAGGAGGGGTTAGACCACCTAGGAAGGTCACTGACAGGTGGCTTTCTCATCTTCTCAGCTCTCAATTAATTAACATTTGAAAAGAGGATCATGGGGAACCAATGGTCACCGATTAGACATTGTTTTCGATATAGAGGGAGCAAGTAGCTACAAGTAGTACAGTGGGCCTTTAACTTCACTCGTATACTTTGTTGATTGCCTTCTGCTCTCAACAGAAGATATATGAAAACTTAAATATAATAATATGGTTTGTTTGGTTTGGGTTGGTTGGATGTTTTTTTTTTACCTGACTGCAAAGAAAGCATGTGTATGCTTGTACTTGTAAGTAAGCAACCAGGGGACCGATGGCTTTAAGTCCTCTTTGAGAGACTTGGTAATGAGGATTAATGCCTTACCAAAGGGCACTAATGTATTGACTTTGTTTCAAACCCGGGACCTCCCGGTTACGAGACCACTGCTTTACCACTGAGCCATTAATGGAAAGGATGTCAATGCAAAATAAGTATAAAATTAGTTCGGTAAGAATCCTTACAATATTGGATTTGGGTGCGTCCCTTTGCAAAAGTTGATATAAACTAGCAAGTAATAAATCTTGTTTAAGAGTGATTTATGGCGATGATAAGCTATGGATGTTAAGCTATGAATTGATTTGTTGTTCTGATATCCTTCTTCACTTCCCATCTTTTCTCTTCAGGGGTATATCAACAACAGTAGATCCATTTTGGGATATATCTCTGGACCTGGGGCCGTCTAGTAGTAGCAATAGTGCTCCCCTGCCTGTTCCCATCATCGTACCCACCCCTCTACCAGACTTCTCATTAGACAGTAACTCTTCAGGTAAGACCAGGCTCCCTGAGGATATCCTAGCGAACACCTCACATTTTATCAGGGCCGAGGGCTCTGTTTCATGAAACATGAAAAGAACCATGCCAGGGGGGTGTTTCACAAATATTCTAGGTCGAACTTAACTCTAAGTTGGACTAAAAAATTATGGAGAGCCATTTGTAGCCTTAAACTAAAATATATTCAAAAGCAAAAATTCAAGTATTTAAGACTTTTTATAAATTCCACAGCAAGAACATGAATTCTCTCATGATAATAAAAAATATGAATGATTTGAATCAACATTTTATGCCTTTTAAAATTACATATACAAAATATTTTCAAAGGTGCTAACAGCTTTCCATAATTGTTAAGTCGTCTTACAGATTAGTTCAACTTAGGATCTTTGTTAACCACCTCCCTGATATTAGAAGAAATTATATTTTTATCAGATATAAAAATAATGGAACTTTTTTGTTGTTCTTCAATTCTAGATTGAGGTTCATGATAATCTTATGCATACAGTTAAATCAAAATTGAATGTTGTTGTTGGTTAGCCTCTCAGGAGGAGAAAGACCAATTCACTTTCAGATCAAGGACAGTCTTGTAACTGGTTAGAACTGGTTAGATGTCACCGCAATAATGGTCTGATCGGGCAGGCTGATCCAACTCCAATGTTTGGTTTAAAGTGGGTCACATGAAATGCATTACTTCAACTATCCACTTGACCGGGCATCTTCATGCATTAGAGAAAAAAGTGCATGTTTTCTGAGAACGTGATCACTAAAACTTTGCAGGAGGTCCTAAGCCTACGTGGGTCATTTGCACAAGCAAATACTGTATGTTCAAAGGGACAGGTCAGGCAGGCCATTTCGTACTGACTGCCGAGATCACTAAATGCAAAGAAAAATGTGTTATACATGTCTGTTTGTATAGTAAGTAGGAGATAACAGTTGAGGAATGTTTAATGGTCTTCAAATATATTCATTTATTATGGTCTTCAAATGAATTCATTAATCATGGTGTGCAAATATAATGATTAATTATGGTCTTTAAATAAATGCATTAAATCTTGGTGCTTGACTTTGTTTGCAGGTTCCAGTACTAGTAGTAGCAGTCTCCACAATGGTGACTCAGGCCTTATGTCACCCCCTGGGTTTGATGACGTACCACATTCCCTCGATGATTGCTTACGAAGGTACGTACATGCTTCCAAGCCAAGCTAGGTTCTATATGGATACAAATCGATTAGATGATTGCTTTTAAAGGCCTAAAAAAGAAGATGTTGTATTGCCCTTTAGGTGCCAAATCATGGGTCAGAAATCTTTTTTTTTTGTAAACCTTTTTTTCTTTTTCTTTTCTCCCTATTTGGGCTGATAGTCTCATTTCTAAATGCTTGAATATTTTGTTATTCATTAAACATTTTGTTCTTCATTAAACATTTTGTTCTTCTAAAATAACGGTTTAAAAAAAAAAGCCAAAAAAAAAGCCATAGATTTCAAGATTTTTGGGTCAGTCACAAAGGGCAATTCAACATCTTTTTTGTTAACGCCTGATAGAATGCATCGGTACTTACTCTTTAAAATGATGTTTGTATTCATTTTGGTGATAAGACAGAGTATGCTACAAAATGAAAATTTGAGTTCTCCTGGAAACTTGAAAAGCTTGCTTTAATAGCAACAAATAATGTCTCAGCAATTCAGATATGCTTCTTGAGGAAACGTATTCCACTCCAAAAGTCTATGCATAGACAGAGTTTCAAACAAGAAATCAATGGCATGTTCCCTTAGCACCCTCTTGATCTCATTGACTGATTTCAAAATAAGTGAAGTAAGTGCAATAGAGACGTACCAGCCATTAATTTGAATGTGGTAGATTTCTTCAGCACATTGCTTTATTGCCTTTGTCCAAAATATGTATATGTCCAAGACATTTTACCTTTACCACTCTTCTTAAAATGACATTGCCTTTGTTCTTCTTCTTCTTCCACTTAAGTGCTGCTTCAAGGTGATGAAGATAAACGCACTGGTTGTGTTTGTGTATGTGGAGACTTTCACATATCCTGTTATTCCACATTTTAACTTTTTGTTCTTATTGTGCAGGTGCATATATACATATGTAAGATACATGAGATGATGAGATACATGAGATGATACTGGTAAAGGTGTTTTAAACATGTGACTTGTTTTTCTTTCTTTCTAGATTTACCCGTCCAGAGTATTTGGGCAGCAGTGCAAAGATTAAATGCAGTGTTTGTCAGAACTATCAGGAATCTACCAAGCAACTCACCATGAAGACGCTACCGCTGGTTGCATGCTTTCATCTCAAGGTAGGAGATCACCTTTCACTATCGCACACAATCCAAAGTAGAATAAGTCTGTTTGGAGCCAAAGCGGGCTGTTAACTCTGGTTTCATGAGCAAAGATCCTAAGTAAAACGTAACTCTAAGAGGCTGTTCACACCGCAAAGAGATAGCGCAGTCTATCGTAGCACCCCCTTTTTTCTAGCGCGCGCTAAACCGCGCTATCTCTCGTGGACCACCTCCAAGAGGTGCTCCAGTGGCACGCCGTTTTGGCTCGCCGTGGCTCGCTGTTGGGCGGACCGAAACGACGTTGTACCTTCCACACCGCAGTGATAGCGCGGTCTAGCATGCGCTATCTCTGCCGGTGTGAACAGCCTCTAAGTTGGACTTTTAAATCATGGAGAGCCAATTGTAGTCTTAAAATGAAATATATTCAAAAGAGAAAATTCAAGTATTTTATACTTTTTATAAATTCCACATGAAGAACATGAAATCTCCTTGATAATAGAAAATATGAATGATTTGAATCAACATTTTATGCCTTTTAAAATAACTTTACAAAACATTTTCATATATGCTAACAGCTTTCCATCATTGTTAAGTCCAACTTAGAGATTAGTTCAACTTAGGATCTTTGTGAAACACCCCCTAGATCTGATAACGTTATATGTATGCATGTTGAAATGTTTTTTCCATTTTGTTGTCTTGTCTTGTTTTGCAGAGATTTGAGCATTCATCAAGGTTTAGGAAAAAGATCTCTACATTCATCTCCTTCCCTCACGAGCTGGATATGACACCATACATGTCGACCCATCGGAGAGCTAATGGTCTAAGTCATCATCCTAGGTCAAACAGAACAACTACCTCAGATAATCAGTAAGTCTTATCTCTAATTGGAGGAGTTAAGACAAGGTCAAAGTTCATCTCTGAAGTCCTATTTATACATAATGCATACCTGCCAACTGAATGGCCAAATATTTTGTTTATTCAAAAAAAAGAAAAGAAGCTGAATCTAGCTTGTTTTACCATGTGCCGGCTGCCTTGAATGGCTGCACCTTCGAGATTTACCGTGTATTGCCAGTTACACTGCCGCTGCATACATGGCTATGGTAAGGCTCTGCTTATTTTCAAATGTTTGCAGGTATGATGATGTGAATAAAACTGCCTATTTTGCAGTAGTAGTTTGTGAAAGAAGTTTATTGTCTCGTGACTGCTGGATGTTAGCTTTACTTCTTTTTCTTCTCTGTCTCCACCTCGCTCTCCCCTTTCCCTTTCCTTCTTATACTCTGCCTCTATCCCCTTTTTCTTCTCTACTCATTCTCCCTATCTCTCTCTCTCTCTCTTTCTCTCTCTCTCTATCCCCTCTCCTCCTATCCTTCTACCCCCATGTCTCTTCCCCTCTTCTGATCTCTCTCTCTCATTCTAATAATACAGTTAATTCTGCATGATTAAAGTCACAAAAGTCAAATTTTCCCTTAGTCAAAACGTGTGTTATTTACACTTCCTCTGTCATATTTTGCGAAAGTCTATATTTTGCAGTCCCAACAGATACGACTTCCGCAGTGTAGTTGACATAAAATATATTTAATTGTCACTTCACTCTCCTTTTCTTGCAGATACTCATTGTTTGCAGTAGTCAACCATCATGGGTCCCTAGAAGCAGGTCATTATACCTGCTATGTCAGGCAACATCAAGATCAGTGGTTCAAATGTGATGATGCCCTCATCACTAAGGCAAGCGTTCATGATGTCCTGCAGAGCGAAGGGTATGTTCGCTTCCATCAGTCACTCTCATCAGCTTTGGCGGGTGTTTCACAAAGATCCTAAGTTGGACTTATCAATTATGAAAAACTGTTAGCATTAATGAAAATATTTTGTACAAGTTATTGTAAAAGGCATAAAATGTTAATTCAAATTATTCATATTTTCTTTTATCAAGGAGATTTCATGTTCTTGATGTGGAATTTATAAAAAGTCGAAAATACTTCAATTTTTGCTTTTAAATATATTTTCTCAAGGCTACAAATGGCTCTCCATAATATTAAAGTCCAACTTAGTTAAGTTTGTCTTAGTTAAGTTCGACTTAGGATCTGTGTGAAACACCCCCTAGCTCTACATTGCTCAGCTAACAAGCCCCAAGATAAAACTTCAGGGCTTGTTTTAGCTATATCAAGAGATATATGATTTTAAAATCATGTAAAGAATGTTTGTATCCCCAAAAATGTTTAGAGTCACATTACAATTAATTGAAAATTTGATTCAGCTTTATTATGATTTGTAAATCTTTTATACAAATAAGGGACATAATCATGATTGTTTTTCAAATACAAAGTGAGATTCCCTCCTTAAAACAAAAAAATATGATGATGGTCTTATTAGGTATTTCTAGTCATGGTAAAGTGCCTCAGCAAACATTAGTTGCAAAATGATGAGTAGATAAACAGTCATTAACATTTACTCTCATAATTTTGATAAAGACAAAACAATTGTTGTTACAATTATTTTGATGAATGCATTTCCAATCTTTGTCTTTTTGTACAGGTACCTCCTCTTCTACCACAAGAGGATTCTGGAGTATGAGTGACACAGGATGACATACTAGCATCTAGTTAGCAAGTATTCTCCACCGCTCCACTCATCAGGACATGTTCGGATGCAATCAAAAACTATTTCAATTTTATTTGTGTGTGAAACTAACTATAAAGGCAAGAGACCATTGAAGAGACGTGAAATATGCTTAGTGGTCGACGAGCTGTAAAATTCTTGTATTGTGGAATTCCAAGCGGGACTGAGTATGTGTTTAATAGCCAGTCTGTCCTACCTTTCTCTGTATGTGCATAAGTCTGTCATCATAATAAAAAATGTTGTCTTCGTTGAATGGATAGCTGAGCACCAAAGCAAAGCACGATTAGTTCACCGTCTTGGCTTCATGTGCTCCTGATGATTCTCATGCTTATGATGAAGAGAAGGCAAGAAATTATTATGAATCGAGGAAAAAAATGTTTACTGTGAATTTAGGTAGACCAAAATGTCGTTAGTGCTGATTCCCCAGCATCGAGACATCTCTACGTTGTCATGTTTGGAAAGGAACCTGAGGTAGATGTCTGCATTGGGGAAAAGATGTTGGAAGGATGGGGGATACGTTGCATCGTTCTGTTTGATACTGAAGGCCATTTCCAACGAGCCAGCAAGCCAGCCAGCCAGCCTAATGCCGCCTATTGGGAACATCCATCACCATTACAAGATTCTCACAGTTAGTAGTGTGGTCTGCTGAAATTTGAGCGGAGTCATCAGGTTGTGTAGCAAAGTAAGAATGGATATTATCCCCCATCCCCCAAATAAAACAATTTTAAAGATGAAAAATAAGCCCTTCTATTTACTGTTTTGTTCTGTTTCTCAGCTTATTTTCCACAAAATCAGTGAAAGTTGCAATGCACTCATTATTTTTTTTGTTTTTTTGGTGTCAGTTTTGGAAAGCAATTAACTCGGTATATTGTGCACAGTTGCATAACACGATTGACGAGAACTACGATATTACCCAGTTTCTGAAGTAACACCTATTATTCCAATGCTTTACAACCAACCCTTTCACTTAGGTCAAGGGAACAGTCCCAAATTGATAGACCAAGCCTATGTAGTCTATGTATTTAATGATTCTCTTGGAATTAAATGTATTTTGTACTTATGAGCATATATATATATTTAGTATTTACTAGGTCTATGGTAACAAGTTACCTATTCCTAGGGTTATTTATACAAGTCATACAGGTAAGCCAGGTTTCTACACAGACTCAATATTCTGTACTTTAAACATATTCACAGCCACATTGTTTATCCAAAGCCAACAAAAAATTGATATGAATGTTTCATTTACCGAGGAATGATATCACTGTCAATATCATTATCAAATCTTTTATACCGCTAATATATCTTTGCCAAATTCCTTATATTGGTGAGTTAGTTTCATTGAAGACAAAAATATTACATATATTGTATTCTTTTAATCATACCAATTTATAGTCAATTCTGTTTGTTATGCTGAAATAGAATGAAGCACAATCAAGGAAGGACCAAGGTAGTTGGATTGGAGAATGTGAATGATGACTCTGTAAAAGTAAATGTTCATGTTAAGTTGTCTCACAATTTAAAGTTTTTTATAGCAATATGATTTGTTTTTTAATTCGTTGTTACAAATGGAGGACCAAAGAAAGAGGGATAATGGCATTTTACCTGGTGCTTGTCAACAATGCTGTATACCTCATTGGTTTTTACTCTCCCACCCCCCTCCCCAACCCCCTCTCTCTCTATATCTCTCTCACTCACTCTCTCTCTCTCTCTCTCTCTCACTCTATCTCTATCTCTATCTCTATCTCTCTCTGTCTGTCACTCTCTCCCTCCTTCACTCCTTGTCTGTCTCTCTCTCTCCTTCTCTGCTGTCTGAAAATTGAATAGACCTACTTCTTTTTGTATTTGACAAAGTTGACATGGAAGTGTTACAAAAGATGGCTCATGGGCTGCCATCCATCCCTGCAGTCGGAGGGCATTGTCATCAAGCTTAGTTTGCACGTAGTACTGACAGTATATCACGGCACCTGAATCATGCATGTGCGTGAAACACAATGTTACGTATAGGGTCTAGTTGGTCTAGTGGTCGCCACTCGCCTCTGAGTTGACCCCTCTGTCTTTGCCCAGAAACGTACTCTGATAGACACCGGTTGCGTCTTTTGGATGGTGACATGAAAAGGACGATCCTCAGACGTAAATGATCATATCCGGTTGACCTTGACCCACAACATGATATAGAATCCCAATTACATAGCTACATTACATGGTCATTGTAGGATAGTCTGTAGCGCTATGCCGTAACTGCATCTTGTTGACCTGACCTATGGTCATTTGAATTAGACCTTGTAAAACACCTGGAAAATCGCAGGGACAGGTTATGCAGAATTTGATATCGATTAAGATAATGAGGTACAGTATTTATTCAATAATTTTGAGTTTGTATCAAACTAAAAAGGGTTAATTAAATATGGATCCTAATGGAGACTTTGTGACTCTTCTCACTCAAATTGCTGCAGGAAATGGTGAGATATTTCTAAGGTATAATTTTTCTTTCCCAATATAATGATTGTTTTCTGTTTGTTTCTTTGTATAAATTTGCATGAATTGTTTATTAATGATATTGGGGGTCCCTTTATACCCACCTTGCCTATGATTTTGATATTTTACTTCATTTTTTTAAATTCTTGTTTTATATTATGATTTTTACATCCTTGTAGAATCAGAAATTCAGTATGAGTAAGTGGTGGATTGATATAAATGAGATCATCAGTCAAACTGGCCATTATATGTAGTTACACTGAATTACTTGCGAGGAAAGGGTGACTATAACTACAATGACATCAGGTTCTTCAGAAAACCTTTACTTTATACATGTAGATTAATTAAAGGCTCTATGTCCTATTTGCAGGCCAACAAAATGAAAAGGTTAAATTCCACTGGCATTTGGAAGATCATACTAATTTAGAGCTTCCCTCAAAACGAAAGGGCTTGAAAATGTCTTTTTGCGGGAAAATATATTTAAGATATTGACCTTTTTAATTGTCTATCCCTGATTTTGAATTTCTGTACTATTTTTTTCTTCTATTTGTTTTGTATCTCAGGTGCTATAAGCATGTACTGATTATATTGTTCTAAGTATTTTGTAATGGTTTTTATTAGAGTACCAAGTATCTCAACACAAATGACTGATTGCAAAGTCCACTTTTATCTCTTCATTGATTTTTATTTTCTCTTTTATTTTCTTCTTAATTTTATTTCTTTTCATGGGCATCAATGAGGATTGTTTGTGAATCCTCTTTTTCAGGCATGGTGGTATCATATACCCCTGAGATATCTGTTATTTTGTTGAACCATTGTTGATGGAGTCTCGTCAATGCAGGACCTAATTATTATTTCAATGCATATGTTTAAAACCAAGTCCTACCAGATGTGAAAGGTACCTGACATTTTTATCTGAGTTGTATTTTGAAAATGGGATAATCCTTGAATTTTTCTATTTGACTTCAAATTTTGAAATCATAATTTATTTTTGTTTTTATTTGTGTTATTTCATTAATTTATTTCATCCACTGCAGAATCCGAGTGGGATAGATCTTTGTCACAATAATGCTACTGAATTCCATCATTTGCGAACAAATTGAAGCCTCAATTTTGTAGATTTGTGGATGATTGGTAATTTATTCTGAATGGTTGAAATGGAAGGGGAAATTATATGTGAAATTAATTTTGCTTGACATGCTCATTCAAAACTCAAAACACCTTTGTTTTTTTAAATCTTGTAATCATGCTAATATCATGACAAGTAACATTTTGCAAAGCATTAGTGAATGTTGAGCAAATAGTCAATATATGTATCTTTTACCACACAAGTGTATTAGAATAACAATATAAACAACTTTTGTAAGAATATCAGTCATTTTTGCCATTAGTATGCACTTTTTGTGTCCTTTGTCTGTCTTACTAATATGCCCTCAAACAAGGCATTTTATCTACAGTTGTCTCTCTCGACCCGGGTTTATTAAGTGACCCATTAACTGATTACATGGTAGGAAGAAATCTCCTTCAATGTGGTGAGAAAGGTCTATAATGGCTGATTTTCACTTTGTTCCATCAGCGAAAAGCACTTCTGCAGATCCAACAAACGTGGTTATGAATACTAAATTTCACGACTTGTTCTGTATGTGTGTTATACATGTATCCCATTTACACAAGTATTAGACTATAAAGGATCATGAAGATAATGATAGGAGTATAGAGAAAGAGGAAAGAGCTATATTGTAATTTAAATTGAGTCAAAACTGGAATTTCCAGCCATCCGCTTTACATAGAGCATTGCTGATGGAAAAAATTGTTTTATTGCTTTTGTATTCTTCAATGGCTGAGACTTAGTCAATCAATTCGCATAGAGCAAAAAAAAAGCTCTTTAATGGATTCCTTCATGACACAATGCTTGATGTCATGCTTGGATTATTGAAATATTGATTTCCATTTTCTTTTGGCAAGAAAAAGATAGGAAAATAATATTTTTTGCATGATATAATATTGATTGTTATGTTATTTTTTGTTGTTACCTGTCTTGTTTTTGCTCTTTAATGATTGAAGAGGTATCCAAATGCATTCAGTAAAGGTAATATCCATTTAAGAAATGGTCAATACTTATTTTGAAATATGACATTAAAATTGAATATGTATATGTCAACTGATTAATGAGTGTCATTGTTGTGGTTATTATTGTGATGATGATGATGAAAGTATTTGGCGTCACCTGTACTTTGGAAGGGAGAAGCAAACTGGATCACTGAGACCTTCGAGTGTCTCCTCCTGGTATAACTGATTAAAGGTGTACAGGTGAACCACTACACTGCAGTTTCTCCCTTACTTGGATCAATGTAAACAATAACATTTCTGAGAGGCAGAAAAAGTACAAAACCAAAGAGTTGGGAGCCCCAAATTCACTCTAAAAAATTTGATGGCCAAATTTCACTTAAATGGTGTAACGATTGACATATAACACTCAACTCTGCAAGGACTCTCAAAATAAATACGCTTGAAGACGAGTATTGATGAAATAATACAAAACTTGTATTATTGTGTTGTACAAAGAAAACATAAATTTTTAATTCTTTCTTTTGGACTCACAGAGTTTTTAAGATTTGGACATGACAGAATGAGATGAAAAATGTGAGATGGGAATAGAGAGAGGAAGGAAGAGAGCTCTTCATAAGGCCTAAAATAAAAACTTGTTGTATTGCCCTTTGCAACCGACCCAAAAATCTGAAAATCTTCGGTCGGCATTTTAAAAAAGTTTTTTTTTAAACCGTTTTTTTATAATTTTTTTTTTATTAATGGTTCAAGTTCAAGTGCATTAAATCAAAATATTCCCAAATTCTCACTTGTCTTCTGCCCTAGTTTCAAAATCCTATGAGCGTAAACATGCAAGTAGACCCTGCCTAGTGTACGTGTTTATACCATGCACTGCACCAGCTAGAAACCAGGGAGATTTGGGAGACGGTCGCTGTTAAGAGTTTTCTACGGAAAGGCTCACAACACTTTTATATTCATGACACATTTTGAAGGCACTAAAAAACATTGAAAATAACGTAAAGACGAGATGAAAGGACATATACATCGAGACAAATTATAATTTTTTTAATCAATTTGGGATCCGTTGATATAGTGCCTGACAGTCTCAAATCGAGTTTTCAAAGAGTGGATATTAAAGGTAACAAAGTTTTGAGGAAAAAAAAAAATTGAAAATTGGGTGGAAGCGACTCTTTACAATTTTTATATACTTGAATGCCCCGTAGATGTATTATAAGCACTAGAAAATTTGGCCCCTAAAACACTTCTGCTTTCGAGAAAAATTGAATAAAACAATTAGAATGGAATGATGACGCTGAAACACATGTATTACATTAAAGCATTAAAAACTGAGAAATAACAGCCAAAAGAGGGCGTGAAAAAAAAAAAGAAAAAAAAGATTCAAAAGTGAAGAAAAAATATCGGCCCAAAGAGGGTGACAAAAAAAAGTTTAAAAAAAAACTAGATGGAACTTCGACTGCGCGCAGTCGAAAATGATGCCTCCGTCATAGAGCAAGTTTACAAACCAAAAAGCAATTTCTCATATACATATATGACCCTTTGATCTTTGACCTCATGACCCTAAAATGTACTCAGTTCATTGGCTCTGCAAGATGTCCTGAGTTAAATAGTAATCCATCTGTCAGTTCTAATGAGAATGCCTTCACAAGCTATTTTTGCATACATAATGAGCCCATGACATTTGACCTTTGACCTCATGACCCAAGAATCTACTCAGTTCATTGGCTCTGCAAGATACATCCCATGATCTAAGTTTGGCAGGAATCCATCAATCTGTTCTAATGATAATGCGATCACAAGCTATTTTTTGCATACATAATGAGCCGCATGACCTTTGACCTTGACCAAGACCCCAAAATCTAATCAGTTCATCGGCTCTGCAAGTAACATACATGACCTAAGTTTGGCAGGAATCCATCAATCGGTTCTTGAGATAACGCGATCACGAGCTGTTTTTGCATACATAATGAGCCCATACCTGCCAACCTGAGACAAGAGAAATTAGGAGTAAATTTTTCTGGATGGACTACGAGGTCGCGAACCACCGAAGGATTGGGGTAGTAGCCCATAGATTGGGGGGGGGGGGTACACAGGGGGTGACTGCGTAACTAACGATCACGTTCGGGCTGCGCTGTGTACATCTTCTATGAGCGCGAGCGCGGATGTCGGCGTGATCTGGTTATCAGTGCTGTGTTATGCTTTAGTCTTATACATACATACATACATATTGGTATTTATTGAGCACCTTTACATGAACATACAAACATAATAGCTATATACTCTCCAAGTGCATTACACTCTAAAAAAAAAATTATTAAAAAAAAAAAAAAATAAAAAAAAAAAAATAATAAAAATTAAAAATTTTTTTTTTAAAAAAATCGGAGTTTTGAGGCATGCACTCGGAATTCGGAGTTGGTATGTAAAAAGCGGAGGAACTCCGCCTAAATCGGGGTGGTTGGCAGGTATGTGAGCCCTGTGACCTTTGACCTTTGACCTCGTGACCCCAAAATCTAATCAGTTCATCGGCTCTGCAAGATACATACATGACCAAAGTTTGGCAGGAATCCATCAATCGGTTCTTGAGATAACGCGATCACGAGCTGTTTTTGCATACATAATGAGCCCTGTGACCTTTGACCTTTGACCTCGTGACCCCAAAATCTAATCAGTTCATCGGCTCTGCAAGATACATACATGACCAAAGTTTGGCAGGTATCCATCAATCAGTTCTTCAGATAACGCGATCACGAGAACGGGACGTACGGACGGACGGACAACCCGAAAACATAATGCCTCCGGCTACTTCGTAACAGAGGCATAAAAATCTTTTCCGCCCGACTGACCCATGTTTTGGCACCTAAAGGGCAATACAACAAGTTTTTTAATTTTAGGCCTAAGGCTTACATTCAAAATCAAACTATAGGACAAGTCGATGGAATTATTGATAGATAATATTTATTTTGTAAATGATAAGGAAAACATGTTTATGGTAAAGAATTTTACATAGATCAAAGTATTACAAAAAATATGATAACTGACTGATCGCATAAAACATTGGCAAGGTAACAAAACTATATTACCCATTACCCCACCAAATCTTTATATTTATATCACCGTTATTACTGTTTGAGATTGCCTATCAACAAACGTATAACAATGAAATGTACTTGCCAAATTGTCCAAACATAACTGACATACAGTTTTGATAGGTGTGTTGTGCTCCCATTGAACAGGTATGTGTAAATTTGAGGAAAGTGCATGCACAATGAAATGACATCAACACAAAAGGACTATGGCGAGACGTACTTTGCCATCATCATAATTACAATATATCCAGTAGTATTAAGCTAAAGTATATGTTGAACAGGTATGAGCAACTTAATGGGGCATACTGCATTAGGCCTGTATTTTCACATAGTGAATAAATAATGCACATACTAATCCCTGAAGTACTTAGAATGTATGTGTTTAACAATAACGAGCAAAAATGTATGTAAAAGAAAACAAATTTCCAATAGTTTCTTAGATCCATTTAGCAAATCTACAATTGAAATGACTGAAACTTTCCACGAAGTCAATTTCTTAACAAAATACCTAATTAGGCGCCTTTCTTCTCACAATATTGTCGCAATTCCAAGTAAATTCTACCCCAAAGCCCCATTCCCCTCACATTAAACAGTGTATTAAAAGCTTAATCATAGGCCACTTGCATCAGCAGTTGTGATCAAACGCTACTAAAAAATCAAATATAATTCTCTTCAAATGAGATGGTCATCGACTGAAGATCAAAGTGTGAAGTGTGGAGTTTTTATGTAATCACAACTTTATCCTACAAGAGGCAACAGTATTAAAAATTATTATCTAAATAAGGCTTCTAAGTGGTACAATAGATCAGTGTATTTAATATCTTTAGTGCAGTAGCCGGATGACTGATCAATATTGTTTTTGTGTATTGCTCAGTCATCTAGGAACTTCAACTATCGATATAGATATCACTTGAAAACAAAGCCAATTTACTGAGGCAAGTCAAATTTTGTTATTTTGCTAGTCAACCTGATGAAGATAATAATAATAATATTGTATGGCTTTGTTTACGTGTGATACAAGAATAGATTGCTCTCGCCATGTCATAGCTCGAGGGATCTATTCTTGTATCACACTCAAAGCCATCCAATATTTTATTACTTTAATTTAATTTTTTGTTAAGCGCTTAGAAACTTTGTATTAAGCGCTATATAAATGTAATTTATTATTATTATTATTATTATAAATATCCCATTATTAACCTCCACCTTTTGTCTTTTCCAGCCACTATACTATATAATGTAAGAATATGTTCATAATCAGGATCTTTAACTTATAGTAAAGTACATTTCACTTCTCACTTCAAATATTAATAAATCTGGAATTACACCCTGTAATCATGTACACTGTATTTTCAGAGGTTCCATATAGCTTTCTATTCATGAAAATGAATATAGTAAACTTACATTTAGTATTGACAAATTATTTTTAGCATAAAGCATGTTACATGAGCATTGGGAAGATGTTATACATTGCTGCATTGTTTAGAATCGAGTCACTGTTCAACTCTACAGCTGCCAAACACATTAATAAACCATACACAAACATGTACAACTTCCAATTAAATCAATCTGAATTATCCAAACCAATGAAATAAAAACATAGCAATGCAGGCTTCCTCGAAAGCACGTACCAAAAACGAACTTCTTTACAAAGAGATTTCTTTTAATGCCACTACAAATGCTTAAAACCAATCAACATTAGGCTAAAGCATATTGAAAATGGAATTGTACCAGTACACGTAATTGTCAGCATTAAATAGGACAACTTATTATATCTGATGCAGAAACATTGCTAGAAGTTTGAATTAGGTGACCGATAACCACGGTCAAATAGCTGGAATTATTGTCACTATTTTGATTGATTTTCCTGGTATTAACATTCAGTGACTAAATCAGAAGAGGAACCCATTTCAACAATTCCTCAGTACGCGCCATATGTAACATTTCATATATGATGATGGGCTATTTGTGTACTCTTTAGAATGGTGAATCAATCCACATAACACAGGTACATTTTGTAACATGCACAAAGGTGTGCAATATTGAATGGAAGTCCAAGAATCAATGATAATTGAAAAAGAAAAATGAAATATCTTGTAATCAGTTTACACACTTCAATATTAGAAAGAGAGAGAGAAAGGGAGAAAGGGAGAGGAAAAGAGAGATAGATAGGAAGAGATAGAAGAGAAAGGGACAGAGAGAGAGGGAAAGGGAGAGAGAGAATGGGAGAAGAGTGACAGAGGGAAAGAGCGATAAATAGATAGAGAGAGGAAGATTGGGAGAGCAAAAGGGGGAGAGAGAAAGAGAGGATAAAGAGAGAGGGAAAGAAAGAGAAATGAAGAGGTAAAAGAACATCAAATTCAAGGTAAAAAAAGAAACAAAGAATATAACTCTTATTATTATTGTCTTGTATTCATTTACTAATAAACCTAATTTTAATCCAAGTCCTCGACCATGAAGGCAGGAGGAGATGCAGCTAGACCCTCATCATCATCGTCATCATCACCGCCTTCGCCACCAAACAGATTTGAAATAAGGTTACCTGCATAAATGGAAACAAAGATGTATTCTTGTATTTAATGTTTCCTATTAAAATATTTTTATTATCAAGAATTTCAAGGATATGTATACCGGTAAGCTTACACAGATACAGTCAAACCTGTCCATAGCAAATGCCCAAGGGAAACACAAAAAATGGTCTTTGTAGACAGGTTCCTTTAGTACATGTTTCAATGAGAAACCATTTTCAAGGGAAACATGACATGTGGTCTTTGAAGACAGGTCGTCACTAAAGCAGGTTTGATTGTTTAAAGATTTATGCATCACTAAGAACCATCTCATGAAAAAAAAAATTCTTCCAAACTTATGATTTTAAGATATTTAATGTTGATTATTAAAATAAGGAAAAGATTTGTTGGACCACAAAGATAGAGCAGGAGGTATTTATCATGGCTATCTGAGTACATCTGATTGTGGGTTGGTTTTAGACCATCCTGATGCACTAATAACATGGAGAGTGTCTAAGCCGCCGAAGATGGTGTTAACAACAAATACATACGCCCAGTTTTTTTTTCCGCCGGGTTTCCTTATTTGCAGATCACACCACCTTCGGCTGGTAGTGAGTAAGTAGGAGGAGATTGCAATGTGTTAGTGGAGATTGTTCAAATTAAATTGGCCAGATACTGTCTGGACTAGGGTTAACGGTGGACTACTGACCTATAAAACCTTGTCTACCGGTAGGCATTGGAGGAGGTAATCCAAAGAAGACCTGGCCTATCTTATCAAGGTACGCTGCATACGTTGGATCCCGCTGCAGAGACGGCTGGTACTTCTCACAAAGCACGGTGAAGGCAGTTAACTTCTGACTGCAGAGACAAGGAGAGGGAGAGGAAAGGAAAGGAGAGAGAGACAAAGAGAGAGAGAGAGAGAGAGAATGAAAGAGAGAAATAAAGAGAAATATGTTCAAGTAAGTGCCAAATTATCATAACAAGGCCCTGTATAACGTGTCACATATACCCCTTAGGCAGATATTAGTCTAACGGTCCGCTCTCTATTGCTGCTCAAACAATGACCCAGGGTTCAATCTTGCTTTGGAGCTTTTATAAAGGTCATTTTATTTTCCACAACAATAAAAGTACAAAAGTGTACAAATAAATAAAAAGCCTATGAGGCAAATAATTGTGACAAATCAAAATACAAAAGACAATTCGTCAAACAAATAACAAAGGCAATGGCGATTTAAGAAATGGAAACGAATTGAAACCTAATGGAAAAAAGTAAACACATATTGGGGATAATGTCAAAGGTAGGTCCCAAAATGTAAATAATCATATACAACTGGTAAATGTCTTTAAAAACCCAATAACACTCAAATACGCCTTTTACACCTAACAATTTTCAAGAATTTACAAATATTAAAATTTACAAAAAAATCATTTGTCGAATTTCCATTTCAATTCAACGTTTCATTGTTAAATTGAGAAGAAGAATCTAAGAATTCCTGGTCCAAACATATGATAGACTGTTGAAATCCTGGGCTGAGATTTGTCATTCAAAGGTTAAATACAGAAGAGAATTCATCACTCCATCTGACTTACGTTTTGATTGCCAGGAGTAAGAGCCACATGAAGTTAAGGAGAGGTAAGATAAAGGGAGGTCCAGCCTTAATTGCAGGATGATTCTCAGTGTAGACTTGTAATGTGAGTGATGCTGTCGTCTTATTCCTTAGGCACAGGTATCTAGGAATATATGAGAAGGCAGAACATGATAAGAATAATCCGAAATATTATAGCAAACAATTATGTCTGTTCATGCTTTATAGCTTTATTATTACCCTGGTAATGTGAATACAGCTTACCCACACAAAAAAAAAACAATCATACAGTAATTAAGTATTTACCTGTCTATCTTTTTATTCATTCATTTTTATTTATTTTTCTATTTTTTCAACTTTTTTTTTTTAAAGGGGGGGGGGGGGGGGGCCACTTTTTCCGTAGAAAATATATCTTGCTCATGTTAACATTTCAATGACGTTAACAAATGTTTTCACTTTATGGACAGTGGATAAATGTGCGTCAACATTACCAATAATAGTAAAATCTCTATGCACTTAGAAAAAAGATATAACACAAAAGATTCCAATACCAATTCCATCCATAATTCATCTGAACTTACTGAAGTACTGCTTGAGCTACAAACATATCGGCCTCACTTCCATATCCTTTACTGAGCTGATATTCCACAAGCATTAAGGCACAGCCCTTGCCGTCCGTAGATCGCAAGAAGTGATAACGAGCTTCAAAATAGTTCTTCTCTGAAAGAGACAGTGGAGAGATGAAAGACGATTATATTACATATGATCTATTAAGTTGTCTAGTGTGAGCTGGAGGGATGATCTATATTTTGGATATTTTGGTTAGTATATATTCTTATTAAGACTTATAGTGGTGTCGTATAATGCCATGAATATATATGGTTGAAAAAATATATACGAAAAGGCAATGAACTGGATTTGTGTTTCATGCTATTACATGTACATTTTTTTTACAGTGAAATAAGGATCAAGAAGCACATGAAAATCACATCAGTTACAAGCCTTATTTACAAGTGTTGAAATATCCAAATTCTACTCTTTCACCAAAAATATCCAATGTAATTGATTAAAGAAGGGGAATCATATCTCGCATATCCCTAGAAGGTAATAGAATATTTGTAAAGCGCTTAGAGACATTTGTATTAAGCGCTATATAAAAATTAAATATTATTATTATTATTATTAATTTGAGAATTAGGATGATAAAGATGATTTAGTAAATGGCAAATCGATAACAATGTCTGTTTTCAAGCAAGATAGTTTTTGCATATTGCAAACATTCATTGATGTGATTTGATTATTCAAAGGCATAATTTTTTGCAAATCTTGGCCTCACCTTATATACAAACGTGATTAATTGCAACTTATTTGCGAATTATATCAATCGCAACTATGTACATAAGAGAAAGGAGACTGCAAACCTGCGATTGATAAGAGGACATGAGATTGATTTGGATCAATCGCAAATCTTGATAAGACAGGGCCTTGGACAACTCTTGAAATCTGTCAAAGTTTCTTGCTTGCATAAGTTTCAACTCTTATAGCAATTCTATTATAACATCGCATCCCTCTCAATGATTTGATTTCCTTTTCATCTTAGATTTAATTTTAATTACATGTAGAAATATTATCTGTTGGGCTTTTTTGTGTAACCTACATATTCATTTTTGTCACGCCTTGATCGAAAGTTTCCGATACGTGTTATAAATTCATATTATTATTATTATTATTATCATTGATATTACTATACAGGTACTTACCCTGCCACAGCATGTTGGCAAACTCTTTGTGGAGTTCTGGATCACCTTTTTTATTATCCTTCTGAGACCACTTAATGGCTGCCACGATGAACTTCCCTCTCTCCGGAGCCTCTGGAAGTAAATACTTTCCCAAGCTACCAATTCTTGCTACGAAACGGAAGAAAAACAGCAAACATGTATCAATCCGATATGATTATTTAGGTCTAGCAACCGACCTTTAATGACACTATCCTAAAAGAGGTGACTCATCCGTACTGGGATCTTTCTGAGTCAGTTGGTAGGTAAAGTAATTCAGTTAAAAGTGATCTTGTGAACTATTGATAGTATTTGTTTGTTACTTAAACTATTCTGAAAGAAAAATTAAATAGATAAATTGATAATTATTCTGTGGATCGCCTAATCACTACATATTTGATAAAATGATTACACCCTGCTGAAATACCAAATGGTGAAAAGGATGAAATTCACAGATTTGAGTTCATGGAACTAAACAAACTTAAAGCAACAAATTTTGTTCAAAGTCATACACTATATCTGGTCAAAATCTAAATATAAGGGCACTAAAGCTCTGGCTTGTTGCCCATGGCACCTGGGCCCTTTTTCATTAAACTTGTTATCAATAACAAGTTACAATTTCTGTTACAAGCAACTGAAATTATGGCATTTGATTGGCTGAGAGCAAATTTGTCATAGAAATTTAGCATTAGTTATTGATAACAAGTTTTATGACACCGGACCCCGGACGGGTTACTCCATACTGGCCCAGACGTACATTACACAACAGAAAAGGACACAGTGACAGAAGGAGGTAAGGGAGGAAGGGAAGGAGAGAGAGGGAGAGGAGGAAAGAGAGAGAGGAGAAAGAGAGAGAGAGGAGAAAGAGAGAGAGAGGAGAAAGAGAGAGAGACAGGAGAAAAGAGAGAGAGAGGGAGAGGAGAAAAGAGAGAGAGAGGGAGAGGAGAAAAGAGAGAGAGAGAGACAGGAGAAAAAATAGAGAGACTTACAAATATTTTCTTTTGAGATGGGTGCTTCTGCGCTCTCTAAGGCCTCTATCAACAGAAGACTAAGATCAGCTCCACTCATGTGCTGGAGAGATGAAAAATGAGTAAATAAATGATGTTCTATATTATCAGCTTCACAGACACAACCTTCCACATTATGACTTTGTTAAGGAGGGGGGGGGGGGGGTCGAATCCATGTTGACCTTAAACTGCACACTACTGATAACAAAATTGTTACCTTTATCCATTTTGAAATGACATATTTCTGTAATTTGAATCATAAAATCGTATTTGTGAGATTTCCATCGCTGAGCAGAATAACCATAACACGAAATATGTGTCATTGACAGATAAAAAGAAAGGAAGAAAAATCTTTGGAAAGGCAAATTATCAAGTGCAGGTTTTTCCAGGAGTCGTGTTCTAACCAATATTAAGCAATACAAATAAATTAGGGAAATTCATTTTTCAACATTCTTAAATCTTTTAAGGAAAAGGTATAAATTACTTTATAATGAATGCATGAAATAGTTTTCCTTTACCTGATTGTGTTGTAATAGAAGAGATGCTCCTGAGTAAAGCATTTCTATGGCTTCTGCATGCTTCTTCTGTGTCATGTATCTGAGAATCAAAGATTACAGGATACAGTTGTTGGTAAAAACACAAAATTTACCAGAAACTTGTGTATTGTAGTTAAAATATTAGAAATTAAATAAAGATATAAGCCAGTTAATGGTTTCAAGACCTTTAAAATATATTTTTTTTAAACTATGTAAAAGTTATTACAAACCCCCAAAACAACAACCAAAAACACAAAGCAATACAAACATGCCGCAGCAAAATAAAGACACTGCTTTGAACAGAACTCTAGTGCAATTTAAACATGACCCTGGGCTAAACCTTGTCTTTAAAAGTTTTCCTTAGTTAAAACTGATCTTAGATTCAGGGTCAGGTTTAATTGTATTAGTAGAAATACTAGAATATGGACCATAATGTGTAATGGTAACAGTGTATATCGTGGAGATATTGCCAAGTTTTCAAAGCCCCACATACAAGAGGTTCTTCCATGAATGGGTGTTTACCTGAAGTAGAGAGTCCTGTACATCTGATGAGCTTCGTAGTAATCTCCAGCTTCTATGCTCTTCTTGAGCTTCCCCAGGACTCTACTCGACCCACCTCGATCACTCTTCTTGGCAGGAGCTTTAGCTGCCATTCTCGTTCCTCACCTACCCTTCAAGTAGAAACAAGAGATACTCTGCTAATTTTTGGTTTAACAATTAGAGAGAGTAGTAGTGGTTATTTTACCTGAGTGCTAAGAAAGCATAAATGCTTGTTAGTTAGCAACCAGAGGACCGCCGAGTTTTGGTCCTCTCCGAGACCGAGGGACCTGGTAGTGAGGATTAATGCCTTACCAAAGGGCACTAGCGCATCACCTGGGTTTCGAACCCGGGTTGCTGGATTACAAGACCACTGCTCTACCAAATGAGCAAATTTACAAATAAATTTTGGTGCTTTCAACATTTCATGAATCTGTCAAAAGGTATTATTATGACAATATGATATTGTTCAGTTCAATTTCTGCAAAAAATTACATTCTAACAAAAATGTTCTTTGTAGTCATCATTTCAAGCATCTTTTCACAAAAAATGACGATATAAAAAGTGGCTAATGTTTATGGTAGGTATATCTACTAGATGTACACCACATATTTTGTAAGATCACACTGCCAAGGGGACAGCTTCATCTACTTTAGAAGGCTACTCAACCTTAATTTTGTTCACCACAAATCACAATTCATTAACAAATATTAAAATTAAACTTGTAAGGAATCAAAACGCATGTGAATCAATTACACACTCAATTACATGAAAACTCTGAGAAACCTAAAAAGTAAATCATCCTTAAAACATAAATTGTCACCAGAATGTGATAAAGGCGGGAACATTCTTAACGTCTGTGGTGCTTACGATACCCAGTGATAAAATTTGCTAGAAATAAACAAATTTGTAATAGTTTTTGTGTTATAAAGTATACTACAAGCCTGTAGTAGCAATACTTGCAGACATTCAAAAGGTGCGTTGACACATATCACATGATAGGAAGAAGTCTTTGGCTGTGTCAGGTGACCCCCCCCCCCCCCCCCAATTTGTCTTTCATGTAAATATATACATGACACAGATCTACCATATTCTGTATGGGCTGTATTGCTAGTACTAGTAGTCCAGATTCTGTCTGTTTTTATATATTTTGTGATTCTTTGATTACACGCTTCCCTCACACAGCGCGGCATCTCCACTCATCACGCGATGCTCCAAAACAACCGTCGAAAAGGGGTAGAGAATAATAGGCAAGGACTGTCTTGGGTTCAGCGTTGCATTGAGAGTGTGTTATTTTCTCAGCTGAGAAATGGGCGCGCGACACGGAAACAAGTCCAGGCTGTGGACATGGACAATGCTGCTAGATGCGTTATTAAATTTCTTGGGCTTGCATACCATGTGCAGTATGAATCATAATCATTTATGAATCATCATGGTGCTCAACATGTTTCAATCAAAATATGATTTTTACCAGCAAAATATTCATATCAGTTTTGAAGTATTGATAATATAGACATTATATCGCTCGTACATGTACATACAGAAAATCATTGTTGAAACAAATTTTATTTTTAAATCATAACACCATCCAAGCTTAAATCAATTAAGTCAATAAGTGTACAAATCATATTTATTGATGTGTAGCGGCTCTTACATTCGCCCTACTTACATTCGCCCTACTTTCACCGTACATTCATGTCTCCTGTATTTTTCCATCACGGTACTTATTTATATTCATTATTCGGACCACGTGTGTTCATTCCTCCAATCGAGCATCGTGGTTCCGCGCATCGTTCCCCCGCGTATTTTCAACACCACGAGGTTTTTCTTCACTCCCGCTTTTACCTTGGTCGAGTCAAGACGTCTCCATAATTTCCTCTCCAGGCTTTATTCTTCTGTGCCTGTCGTTTCTTCTACGGCACGTCTACTCTTTCCCTGCCGTGTTCATCGGGCTGCAGTCTCCCAGTGGAACGTTATAGTCAGCACCGACATGGCGCCTGACTCTCCGCTGGGAGCTGCCAGTTTCTTCGTTCCGGTAGCTCTTTCCACTCACGAGCTCATCATTTCACCGCAGCTCATCTAAACATTTCTTCATCAAAGTCCGGCGCATCAAACGAGCAACTATTACTACTCAGCACCAGTGCCGGCTTTGCATGTCTACGTTTCTACTCTTCGCCTCCGACATCGAACGACCCACTGTTCCGTCGTCGAGCGCCACATCTCGTCTCTTCTCTTCTCGCCTGAGAGCTTCTTCACTATCTTCATCACGGACGTCAGCGTCGAGATTCTTCACGGCTCTTCAGCCACGACAATGAAGCTGCATCTCCGCCTTCAAGCCTCCGCACATCATCGCGTGAGCCCCTTCCTTCGTTCTTCTCAACTCTCTTCATTTTCATTGGACTTTCGACGCCATTTCTATTCTGTCGTAAGCTCTATTCATTCAATGTCATTATGTACATCGCATTTATTCATGTTCATTCTCATCCTTAATCATTATGTAATCTTCGTGCAATATTCACATTTTCAAGTCTGCTATATTTGCTTGACTGCACTTTGCAAGTGCATTGTCAGCTTTGTTCAGTACCCAATAAATTAACGAAAAGGGAATACTTTCTTTCATGTATTTTATTGTCAGTGCAACCTTGCTTCCTCGTAGCTAAAATAAAAATAAGAGTTATGTTGTGTGACGAGTGAACACGCTTTCAAATATCCATTCACAATACCTCACACTCATATCTCTAAAGTGGTGACCCCGACGTGATCTCCGCCTTCAAGCCTCCGCACATCATCGCGTGAGCCCCTTCCTTCGTTCTTCTCAACTCTCTTCATCTTCATTGGACTTTCGACGCCATTTCATATTGTCGTAAGCTCCATTTATGTCATTACATTCATTCGATAATGCCCATTTACCTTTTTATGTCATGATGTAGGCCTAGTACGTTCACCAATCATATCTCTAAAGTGGTGACCCCTCGTTTACTTTGAAGCTTGGTTGTACGATTTTATTATTCCCAGACTTTTTGGACTTAGCAATGTTTTATCAAATGTATTCATTCTGGATTATGTATCGAATGTTTTTATGCTCTTGCATTTATACACGTTTATTCGATGCATACCATGTCAATACTCACTGTTCAATTTTTGGCAACTAAACAGCCGTTCGCATACCATGCTTGTTGTTTACATTTTTTCAACATGCCATGCTTGTACATTTCTTAGGCAGTTGTAAATTACTGCATACACTATATTATACAATACATGCACTTTTACATTTTTATCAGCCATTGATTCTTGTGACATTTTGTACTTTGCTCATTTATATCTTTGTCGCCTTTTCTCTGTGTATTGCATACACAGCTTCAACTCTGGCAGGGGAGTAAAGTAGCGGCTCTTACATTCGCCCTACTTACATTCGCCCTACTTTCACCGTACATTCATGTCTCCTGTATTTTTCCATCACGGTACTTATTTATATTCATTATTCGGACCACGTGTGTTCATTCCTCCAATCGAGCATCGTGGTTCCGCGCATCGTTCCCCCGCGTATTTTCAACACCACGAGGTTTTTCTTCACTCCCGCTTTTACCTTGGTCGAGTCAAGACGTCTCCATAATTTCCTCTCCAGGCTTTATTCTTCTGTGCCTGTCGTTTCTTCTACGGCACGTCTACTCTTTCCCTGCCGTGTTCATCGGGCTGCAGTCTCCCAGTGGAACGTTATAGTCAGCACCGACATGGCGCCTGACTCTCCGCTGGGAGCTGCCAGTTTCTTCGTTCCGGTAGCTCTTTCCACTCACGAGCTCATCATTTCACCGCAGCTCATCTAAACATTTCTTCATCAAAGTCCGGCGCATCAAACGAGCAACTATTACTACTCAGCACCAGTGCCGGCTTTGCATGTCTACGTTTCTACTCTTCGCCTCCGACATCGAACGACCCACTGTTCCGTCGTCGAGCGCCACATCTCGTCTCTTCTCTTCTCGCCTGAGAGCTTCTTCACTATCTTCATCACGGACGTCAGCGTCGAGATTCTTCACGGCTCTTCAGCCACGACAATGAAGCTGCATCTCCGCCTTCAAGCCTCCGCACATCATCGCGTGAGCCCCTTCCTTCGTTCTTTTCAACTCTCTTCATTTTCATTGGACTTTCAACGCCATTTCTATTCTGTCGTAAGCTCTATTCATTCAATGTCATTATGTACATCGCATTTATTCATGTTCATTCTCATCCTTAATCATTATGTAATCTTCGTGCAATATTCACATTTTCAAGTCTGCTATATTTGCTTGACTGCACTTTGCAAGTGCATTGTCAGCTTTGTTCAGTACCCAATAAATTAACGAAAAGGGAATACTTTCTTTCATGTATTTTATTGTCAGTGCAACCTTGCTTCCTCGTAGCTAAAATAAAAATAAGAGTTATGTTGTGTGACGAGTGAACACGCTTTCAAATATCCATTCACAATACCTCACACTCATATCTCTAAAGATGCATGCATGAATGAATGAAGGTTGAAACCCTGGCCTGGTACTGGTCTGATGGCTGTGTATGTAGACCTAAATCAATCAATGTCTAAAAGTTAGAATTAGAAATAGAATGTGGGCCCCTGGGCCAAGAATATGGGCACATAGGTCTACAGCAATATAATAATTAGAAAAAGTACAGATAATCAAGACTAAGTAGACCTAAGCAGTAATTTAGGCTAAAGTAATAGTGGTCACCTCACCTCGGCTCAATGATGCAAGTTTGAATCTGAACTGGTGTGGTGGTGGTGTGGCAGTCTGTGAGTGAGTGACTGCACTGAGTCACTGTGTAAGTGTGTTGGCCACCGGTGAATTTAAATTACGTTGCTCGAACGGGAAAAGTTGACGTGCCGATTTTGAGATCAAACAGGACGAAAAACGATATTGCCGACGAAAATTGCAGCTGAATTATATGAACTAACGCGTTTTGTCTTTACAAGAGTAAAGCAGATCGAACATAGCATTCTTGCCTCGGTCTCGGATCATGTAATGCAATAGGTACGCGTATACCGGTATACCGCATACACAGTCAAATCATAGACTCATCGAGAACATGTACTGTAAATGCAACGACCAATAGACTTGATGACAAGACGTTTAGCTACACAATATCTCGCAGTTCATATGATCATGGAATAAGACGACTGGTTTTAAGTTTACGGCTTAAGGGAATTTCCCAATCTTCTCTGTCTTGAAATCTCCTCCCAAGAAATGGGTGCTCAAATAAATCATGTGTTGGTCACGCGTATCACTTGGCGCTGCTTCTAGCTAGCTTCTTTGCATTAACTTTCTTCTCAATTATTTTGGATTGAGTGTCATGGCAATCAATTGCTGGGTTCGCATGGGTATATGGGGTACATATATGCAGTTATGTCATGCAAAATGAAAACGAAATATAAACCTAGAGCTATGTTTAAACTCTTTTTCATTTAAAGAAAAAATACTAGATCTATAGTACACAAAAGCTTTTCTTCCCTAAATACATGTACTGTATGTATATAAATTTAAAGAAAAAATACTAGATCTATAGTACACAAAAGCTTTTCTTCCCTAAATACATGTACTGTATGTATATAAATATGTATCAATTACCTTTATACATATAAATGTATATATGTATAAACTCTTTTTCTTTCAAACAAGGATTACATTAAAAAAAATACCATGATACAAAAGCGCCTTTTTCAAACTATTTAATGTTATAAACATCATAAATTAGGTATTGCGGGAGAGATCGGGGCTAAGGGAAACATGCTCCCCGCCCCCAGCGTGCTTCAACGCTCAACGACCGAACCTTAATTCAGCGAACGATGGAGGCTTTCCGCTTTACCGTTAACTTTTGTGGGCATCCAAGCACACCGCCATAAACTTACATACCGGTCAACAGTACAACAACATCAAACTTGATCAGGCATATTTTGTGCTTGAGTGGCTTGTTTGATAATGTTCACAATTAAAATTGTTAATCATGTGGACATTTAGAAGCTAACGGCCATGGAATCGTCGGGACTTTTACCGTGGGATGTCGTGGTTCTTGTTCTTTACCTCATCTCTATCTTAGTGATTGGTATAGCGGTAAGTCGTTTCATACCGGGGCCTGGCCCGGGAAAGTTTGCTACCATGCACGGTGTATTTTGGGTCGCGGCGTGGTTCCCTCGGGGTGGGCGAGGCCTCACTATGAATATGACTGACAATGAGAGCGGACAAAATATACAGTTCCTCAGGTAGACAAAGGAACATCCCTTACTGCTATTATGTAAAAATGTGTAGAACAGGTGTCACATGCATAATTTTATTCACCTTTTTACATAATAGCTGTGAAGGGATGTTCCTTTGTCTACCTGAGGAACTGTATATTTTGTCCGCTCTCATTGTCAGTCATGTTCATAGTGCCTAGATCACTAATGTCATGGCCTAGATACGGGAACGAAGAGTTTGAGTGCAGTTGTATCTCGTCTGCCGATAGCCAGCAGTAACTCATTCGTGTTTATAGTTAACTCATTTCTTTTCTTTACAGAGTTTAAAACCTTCTGGCTCTCAATTAAAGAGTTTGTGTGTTTGTGGTATGTGTGTTGTGTGTGTGTGTGTGAAAGAGAGCTAGGAGAGAGAGAGAGAGAGAGAGAGAGAGAGAGATGGATAGAGAAAGAGAGGGGAGGGGGGGGGGTTGGAGAGAGAGGGGGAGGGGGATTGAGAGATGGGGAGGGGGTGGAGAGATGACAGAGACAGGAAAACTGAGGGGTGGGGTGGAGTTGCAATAATTTTACAATATTAGTGATAGGCAATTATGTTAAAAAGGAATAATGAATTTTGCTCCATCTACATGTATGTATGTATATAGGATTCAACTGCAATAAATGAAATCAGACAAACAGATTTCTATAAAGTCAACTTATACTCTTTGTAATTAAGGCTGAATCTGTTACGATTTCTAAAACTGAAAATGAAATTATTTAAATATTATTATGATCTTGCTAATTTCAAAGTGACAGCCTTCCTTAATTTCTATCAAACTCCTTTGAAAGAAAGCAGAACCCCCAGAAGCAGATTATGGAATTTGAACAAACATATCTAGCAAGTAATAAAAGGTCAGGAATAAATATTCAAAAAATGGTAATCAATTTTGTACTAGAAACTGTCACCTGTTGGGGAGTGACAACTCTTTTATTTGTTTCAAACACACATTGACTTTGTAGGACCTGGTTTTAAGGACCTATAACTATATCTTGAGTATAGTCACAAGGGGAAGGGAGTTTATTGTACAACTCATGTTGACAAACTATTTACAAATTCAGATTCCCACTTGATTACATATTTTATTAAATTCATAACTTCATCTGTTTATATGATTTTTCTATTTTACCCAATTAAACTTGTTAGATAGGTAAGCTTTCCATGTAACTTTCATTTGATTATATAATGTGTGTGTTTTGTGTCATATTATTATCCAGGTTCTACATGGCATATGCCTACGCATATACAGATGTTGCCAGATGGTATCCTTTTACTCTTGATATGTCATTCATCTTCAGCTTTTATATACATGCAAATTTAAAGCTATTAAAATGAACAAATATAACAGCTGATAGTGCAGTGTGGCAGAGTCAGGATTCTCTGATTGGATAGGGCAGGTGGGGGTATTTAATGTGGGGGGTTTCAACAAGGAAGCCAGTTAAAGGTTTTTGCTTCTTTCAGTAGCCTTCTTAGAGCTGAATTGCTACAGGGTGGGGGTCACAAACATGCTATTGTATGATTGTTATTAGGAATTTGTTATTATAATTATGTATCATGTATTATATTGTTGTAATTTGTAGGTTAACATTACTTTAATTTTATTTTTGTTAAGCGCTTAGAAACTTTGTATTAAGTGCTATATAAATGTAATATATTATTAATATATTATGCTAAGGGTGCATTCTTCTTTTTTGTTTAATGTTTATGTATACCCCCCCCCCCTGCTTTCTCTTCGGATCTGCCTCTGCTGTTTTAGCTAGCATTATTACACATATGCCTGCGGACGGACATCTTTTCATAGACTATTGGGATTGATGCATATGTTGGCCTTGCTGCTCCAATAGATTGAAAAATAGATTCAGAATTGAAATCTCTGATGCATTGAGCATAATAATATAGGCCAACAGTGTATTATTGTATTATGCGCTGTGTTTAAATAACATAGGCTTAAAACCATTTTTAAAGGTAGTGTATCCCTTTTGCTGCCAACATCAAATTCTGTAGAACAGCGCTCAAAATACACGGGGGCGGTGGGCGATTCGCCCCCGTGAGCTACAAAATCGCCCCCGTCCGGTTGCTCACGGGGGCGATTGCAAAATTAAAAATCGCCCCGGTGGAATTGTAAAATAAAGATAATCTTTTCTGTTATAACTTTAACACAATATTGAGTTTCAATTTTCAAACCTTAAACCAATGAAATGGAACTAAGATTAGCGTGCAAGATTTCTCGTTTTATGAGTAGGCCTATTATTACCGATTCAGCTCACAGTGCAGTGCCGCCGTCATTAGTGGTTATAGGCATACTGCGCCGTTAGTAGCGGTGCGCGTGCACGCTGCCGCGCCATGTCTGCTGGAGCGGGAGGCGATCGGGCAAGGGCAGAAACATGGTCATGGCCTGGAGAAGTTTTTCGTTGTCAGCAAATAATGAACCTCGACCAGTAAATCAATATTAGGGACTCTTAGATTTGCACGATGAGAACGTGGACTGCAACGTGTGACCTCCTTTTAAGGCACTGCCAGTGCTTAAAAGGATGTCACATGTGATTGCCAGTGCCTTAAAAGGACGTAACACGTCCACGTCCATGTCCACGTCCACGCAAATCTAAAAGTCCCTTTTGAGGAGAAGAGGAAGACCAAAATGTCGTGGAATGATATGGTAACATGGGCAGATCTACGGCGGGGGGGGGGGGGGGGGGGGGGGGGGGTAGGGGGAACCCCCTCCTCCCACCCCCCCCCCCCTCCGGCCCCCTTGGGCTACCAAGTGAAAATGTGATATTAAAGCGGGGGGGGGGGGGGGGGGGTTCTGGAGAGGAGGACTACTAATCTATTTTATTTTTTTCAGGGGGCAGGGGGAAGTGAAGCGCCGTTTTAGCATGACTTTCTTTTCGTGCTGTAAGATCACTTTGAGATTAGGGAAAGTGTATTATGTAATGGGTATTTTAAATTGAATGGAACGTCTCAACCCAGTAAGCATGGCTGAGATTTGTAAAAGTTGTTTTTACAAAGAAGATTCAGGTGAATAGCAGTGCTTATTCAAACAAATATTCGCATCAATTTGAATCACAATCATTATTTGTCGCTTAATCCCTTTTAATGACCATGTTTTCTTTTTCGTTTGCAAGGGGAGAAGAAGATATCACGTTAAAGACATCATAAAGATCAGTGTTGTATGCGTATATATTATATACACAGGCCAGTAACAGCTATGTAGCTTGTAAATTTGTAAGAGGGAAAATGCTGATTGAAATTATAATGATGAAATAGCAAATAATTGAGGAGTATCATAGGTACCAATTCAATGGATATTTGTATAAAAAAGAGCCCCCGTCAGTAATAAAAGAGCCGCCGTGAGAAGGCTCACGGGGGCTCTTTTTTCGGGGGAAGAGCCCCCGTGGACAAAAAATTAATTTGAGCCCTGCTGTAGAACTTTGCAGGAATTATGAATTTGTCATGTATGTCCTATCTGTGAAATTTAAACTGTTCTAGTATTTAAATTATTCAAGGAAACCTGTTAACTTTCTAGAATTCACTGTCAGACACGATTGAGTGACTGACTGACTGAATTCTTTTATACTAAGGTATTTCAATGTATGCTTGTTTCTCTCCCAAACCCTAGGTTACCACCTACTTGTTTCATCTGCTATGCAATATATAGATAGAATTTACTTTGCATACATTATTTGTTGCTATGTCTGACAAGACTCTGGCAATATTTAAGGCTTCAAAAGAAACTTTTGTTATAGAAAAGAGGTATTCATACAATAGCCATTTTCGTAATGTAACCAAATTTAATGCATAAGTCTTTGTGAAGTGCCTCAATAGAAATTATTCATTCACCTGATAAGAATAATAGTATTTCAATAGTCAGAATGCAAACTGCATATATTAAGTGTTGCTAGTTAGGTCAAGCCATAATGTTTGTCCTACCTGGCAACCAGGGCTCAAATTAATTTTTTGTCCACGGGGGCTCTTCCTCCCCAAAAAGAGTACTGATGGGGGCTTTTTTTTATACAAATATCCATTGAATTGGTACCTATGATACTCCTCAATTATTTGCTATTTCATCATTATCATTTCAATCAGCATTTTCCCTCTTACAAATTTACAAGCTACACAGCTGTTACTGGCCTGTGTATATAATATATACGCATACAACACTGATCTTTATGATGTCTTTAACGTGACATATCTTCTTCTCCCCTTGCAAACGAGAAAGAAAACAAGGTCATTAAAAGGGATTAAGCGACAAATAATGATTGTGATTCAAATTGATGCGAATATTTGTTTGAATAAGCACTGCTATTCACCTGAATCTTCTTTGTAAAAACAACTTTTACAAATCTCAGCCATGCTTACTGAGTTGAGACGTTCCTTTCAATGTAAAGTACTCATTAAAGAATACACTTCTCCTAATCTGAAAGTGATCTTACAACACAGTGGCAGATTTGCATGGCTGAGATTTGTAAAAGTCGTTTTTACAAAGAAGATTCTGGTGAAAAGCATTGCTTATTCAAAAAAATCCTTGCATCAATTTGAATCACAATGATTATATGTCGCATGATCCTTTTATTAAATAACCTTGTTTTCTTTTTTTTTTGCAGGGGGAGAAGAAGCTATGTCACGTTAAGAAATCATAAAGATCAGTTGTATTATGCGTATATGATACCAGAACAAATGTTGATTATCAGAATGTCATTTTGGAATACCTCTATACAAATACCACATTGTCTTTAGCCCGTATCAGTATTAGTATGATCCAATATAAAGCTATTATTCTTTATTTAATTCAGTATAATGCTTTTCCTCAAAAATAGTTTTGCTATTTTTTTAGGGTTGAGACGCTAAGAAATGGTTTCAAATGTACATTACACGAACCCTGAACCATTGCAAAATGATGGTGGTTCTCTCTCTCTCTCTCTCTCTTTATTTTAATCATGCATTATCAACTACATATAAAGCAGCAACCAAAAACTTAGGGTTATCTGAGATAGGTGAAAGTAAAAGTAAAAAAGAAAGTCGTGCTAAAACGGCGCTTCACTTCCCCCTGCCCTGAAAAAAATAAAATAGATTAGTAGTCCTCCTCTCAAGCATCCCCCCCCCCCTGCTTTAATATCACATTTTCACTTGGCAGCCCAAGGGGGCCGGGGGGTGGGAGGAGGGGGTTAAACCCCCCCCCCCCCTCCGCCCCCGTAGATCTGCCCATGTTACCATATCATTTTCACGACATCTTGGTCTTCCTCTTCTTCTCAATAGGGACTTTTAGATTTGCGTGGACGTGGACGTGTTACGTCCTTTTAATGCACTGGCAGTCACATGTGACGTCCTTTTAAGCACTGAGCAGTCTTGCTTCTCAGGGACCCTGACCATTATTACTTTTGTATGTTGTTGTTATTTGATATCATTAGGTGGTCTGTCAACGACAGATCACCTATTGTTTTCGTCAGAATTTTCTTTCTTTATTATTATTCTTTATTTTTATTTATTTCTCCCCACTTTTTTGTGTAAAGGATAACTCAAGATCGGTTTAGTCAATTTCTTTCAATTTTGGGACGGTCATAGGTCATTGTCATGAGACGTGACAGCAACATTTTCAAGGTCATCAAGTCTTCATGACGTCATCCAGGCGCCATTTTGTGTTTTTTGGGGTACTTTTTACTCATGATCATATCTTCATAACGGAAAGGCATTTGTCATTCATATTTATCATGATTAAGGTCAATATCCGTCCGGTCAATTTCAGGTCAAAAAACGCGCGCGCATGCGTACGTCCGCCCGTCAGCGCGCGCGCAAAAAAAGAAAATGCTCCAAATCGTCTCAAATTATTTTTGCATACGTTTCAGGCCATTTTAAGCGTTTCTAAAAAAAACCCGCACACGAGCATGCGCGCGCGTTTTCGCGCGTACTGGTATTTTTCAACATAAAATCGCCAAATTTTCTCTGTCATCATATTTGGCACATTTTTCCAAGCATTTTGATACCTTGTTCACCTTTTTTTGCCCAGTAATAACGGAATGAGCGTCCGTTTAAAATAATGTCCGTGCGTGCGAGCTCTTGTAATACATAGCATACAGGGGCAAAAACATGCCTATACAAAATCCATTGTAGCGCTTTAGGATGCAAAGTGAACCCAATTTCTTTTTCATATTTTGATAGAATATGAATTGGAGATATGATTTCATGTCACATTTGACCCTCAATTAACTCATGACGTCATCATAATGGCCTCCGAACTCAAAATTTCAATTTTCATATTATGACGTCAGCAGATTTTTGGAAAATTGATTGTATCTCTGTAAATGTTGATCAATTTTCTTTCAAATTTGGATATGTTCTACCTGAGAATATTTTCTACAAATGCAGTCAGAACGATATTTCATTTTGACAAAGGCATCATGACGTATTTTTGCGATTAAAGGAGGCATGTCAATTTTTCATATTTTGCGTGTATTCTCTAAGGGACATGACTTTTTCTCAAAACTGGATTCTACATTCTCGTCTTTCGGGAGCAATATCTCCGTCGTTTTATCTTTGTTTACGCTGAGCTTTGAATATGTTGTAGCTGAGACAATAAGCTATCACCAATGTGCCCTTTATTTTTCGATCAGATGCCGGGATCATGCTCATATCTCACTTGCAAAGAGGGATTTGAGAATTCCACTTTCCGTTTACGTGTAATCGCTAATAAGGGAAATGTTTTGGTATATCGGTAACGCACTTGACTTCGGACCTCGAGATCCCTGGTTCGAGTCCGGGCGTCTCCAACAATTTTTTTTTAAAATTTTTTTTTGTTGTTGACATTTTTTAATGATCATAAAATTGAAAACAGACCACCTAATTCGTCACCATGACGAATTCAATTTCTAGTATTTTAATTGAATTTGTACAAAAACACAATTCAATTAAAATAAATTTGTGACCACTTTTTTGTGTGCACGATTACTCAAAATTAAACCGTCCAATTTCTTTCAAATTTAAAACAGTTATAGGTCATTATCTTAAGACATGACAGGAACATTTTCAAATTCATCAAAATATCATGACGTCATCTAGGCGCCATTTTGTGAAGTGCTCTGAGAATCAACTCATGATCATATCTTCATAACCGTAAATCATTTCTCATTCATATTTATAACGATTATGGTCAATATCTGTCCGGTCAACTTAGGTCAAAAAACGCGCGCGTACGCGTCCGTCCGCGCGTCGGTGCGCGCAAAAACATAAAATGCTCATAATCACTTTTTGATCAAATTAGAGTACGTTTTAGGCCATTTCAAGCATTTCGAGAATTTTGCGTGCGCACACCTTTCCGCGCGCAAAAATTTGCGCGCACGTTTTTGTTCGTAATGGTCGAACGCAACCTTAAATATTCATTTTTTGTTGTTTTCATAGTATTTCCCATTTTTTTCCGATCAATTTGATACCATGTTTATCTCTTTATGACCATCAATAACGAAATGAGCGTCCGTTTAAGGTAAATGTCTGTGCGTGCGAGCTCTTGTAATACATAGCATAAATGGTCAAAAACATGCCTATACGAAATACATTATAGCTCTTTAGGATGCAAGTTGACCCCACATTTTTTTGCGTGTCAAACTCGTGAGAAATAATCGAGCCAGTTGTAAATAACATCGCGCACCAGCTGCTGGTGACAATGACAATGTAATGCGCACCATGCACGAACTCTATTGTGACGTTACAATCAGACCCTTGGCACACTGTTTGCAGTGTATCGAAAATTCGTCAAGCACTGGATGCACAGTGCTTGTATGACGATGTTTTTGCAACTTCTAATGCTAGGAAATCCTGTGGAGTGTAGGCTACATAATTTATAAGATAGTAATTTATAATTGATAAGATAGTATAAGATAGTAAGAGTTTCTTGTTTGCTCTAGATATCTGATGTGGTTAATAATAGTAATATTTACTGCCTAATTCAGGGCAATACGACTTGCCATATATCATCCTCACCTTAGGTTCAGGCGATATACGTCATATTGCCCAGAAGGCAGTCAATATTACTTAATTATGCATCATCATAATTGCTCAATATTTCGTTCATCAGTTCAGCTCATCAGTTTAGTTCAGTTCATCAGTTCATCCGTTTAGCTCATCAATTCAGTTCATTTTACATCAGTTCATTTTATCAGTTCATGAGTTTATCAGTACTTCATTCATCAATTCATATCTTAATACAATAAATACATCATTTTACATTAACATAATTTCATGGGGTAATTAAATTGAAGATGAGCATGATCATAAGAATTGAAGACAGACCACCTAATTCGTCCCCATGACAAATTAATTTTCTAGTTCTTCTATTGTATTGTTGTTTTGTATATTTTGTTGTTTTAAATGGTCAATAAATGAAGGGACTTCCTTCCTATTCAAAAAATAATTACTGACACTGCCTTAAAAGGAGGTCACACGTTGCAGTCCACGTTCTCATCGTGCAAAACCAAAAGTCCCTAATATTGATTTACTGGTCGAGGTTCATTATTTGCTGGTCATTTGAAATCACTAGATTTCAGCGGGTTAACGCTTTCACAACGAAAAACTTCTCCATGACCATGTTTCTGCCCTTGCGCGATCGCCTCCAGCTCCAGCATACATGGCGCAGCAGCGTGCATACGTACCACTTCTAACGGCGCAGTTGGCCTATAACCACTGCTGACGGCGGCACTGCAGTTGCGAGCTGAATCGGTAATAATAGGCCTACTCATAAAACGAGAAATCTTGCACGCTAATCTAAGTTCCATTTCATTGGTTTAAGGTTTGAAAATTGAAACTCAATATTGTGTTAAAGTTATAACAGAAAAGATAATCTTTATTTTATAATTCCACCGGGGCGATTTTTAATTTTGCAATCGCCCCCGTGAGCAACCTGACGGGGGCGATTGTGTAGCTCACGGGGGCGAATCGCCCACCGCCCCCATGTATTTTGAGCGCTGCTGGCAACAATTAATGTATGCAGTTCGGATTCTGTCTATTGAAATATTATTATTCTTATAGGTGATTGAAACAATTCACTTAACAAAGACTTATGCATTAAATTAGGTTACATTACGAAAATGCTCTATTAGTAAACATGTCTGTTCTAAGAGTATTTAGAGCCTGTCATATTTTGCCAAGTACAATCTCGATAATCAGTAGGAAATTGAGAAATGAAAGTGAATTTTTAGAAGACAAGTTATTTTGAAGCAAACTACTTAAACAATTCTCTAGTGATAAATCTTGTGTGTTTTATTGCTCTACTATTTTCTGATTTATCTTCTCTTTTTTTTAAATTATTATTTATTCGTCAGTTCCACTTCTTTGCACATAGCTTTGTGTAGTAAAATTACAAGCAAACCACATTATGTCAGCATATAGTTTATGACTAAGGAAAAGCTATGAACACTTAATTTCAGCTGTGTTGTTTTGGTTTTCTTTGTTTTTTAGTCACTATGGCGGTCCAACAGGAGTACTGCAGAAGGTTTTTTCTTGGCTGGGGGATCTATGCTTTGGTTACCGGTAAGTGATGCTCTAGTAGTCCAGAATCTTGCCGATCTTTGAATTTGTTTTGGTATGTTTAAAAAACAAGATTAATGATGTGACAGCTGCAGGGTATAGTATTTCATTCTTGTTTTGGATTGAAATACAAATTGAATGATATGTTACTATATTTTGTTTGCTTTAGGTTGGGGCCTCATTGTTTGCCAGTAATATTGGCAGTGAGCATTTCATCGGTCTGTCTGGATCAGGAGCCTATGCTGGCATTGCCATTGCAGCTTTTGAACTCAATGTAAGTTATAAGAGGATTGCGTAGACACAGAATCATGGACAGAATGATGCAGGTCACAACAATAAGTTGATAGCTTTTGGCTCTAAGGTGACTTGCGGTGCTTAATTGGCCTTTTTTCAGATTTTATTTTGTTGATTAAAAAGTGAAAGCAAAATATAATCTGGAAAAGGCTATAAGCACCGAAAGATATCATCTTTTTGTTGTCGCCTGCGTCATTCTGTTTTTATATCCCATAAGGCAGACAGACTGACCCACAAACACACACACACACACACACACATAATTATAACTTTTCCACTTTTTGTTCCCATTTCACCTCATATAGAACAGCAATACATTTGTTTTCACAACAGTGGGAACGAATCCCTTTTTATTTGTGCATTGGTGTATGATGTGTATCGCAAATGCTTCACATGAAAGAGTTAGTTTTATTTCACTATTGTATTTCTGATAATCTCCTTTTTTGAAGAAGAATACACAGTTCATTATAATGCATGTTATTCCTTCATCAAATCTGTTTATAGCTGTAGGTTTGCTATAAAAGATCATTGCATATATCCAATGTACTTTGGAATATTACTCATACACACAATTCATTCCTCTGTAAAGTGGACCTTGGAATTAATACTCCATTTATAGGATCACAAATATTGTCTCTTGATTAACTCTCAAAAATAAATTGGATCTCAGTGCTAAGTTTTGCTCTCTAAGTCTGCCATATGTTTCCTTCCATTCATTCCCATATATGTATGATTGTCATTCACGTCTATATATTTCCTGGGACTACCCATGATCTTTGTGATTGAAACACATTTACAGTTTCAGAATATATGAATAAATGAGACTGCGTCCAAGGATGAATACATATATATATATATGCTGGTAGAGTGTGAAAATAAATTCACTTTTACGTTCTCATAACCTTGAGAAGGCCGCATTATAAACTTTTAGGTTAGAGGTTATTGTATATGTTCATTCAAAAGAACAATTCTTCATTGAAATGGCACTGCTATTATTATGGTCTTTGTGCATTGTGTTTATATGATGGAAACCCAGACACCTTAATTTAGAACGTGCCCTACACGTAAACACCTATTATCCTATCCTACTCAAGGACAGGAAGGGCCAACATGGTTGCTTGGACTAAGAAAGGCTGATTTCACAACAGAAAACTGCATATTTTGAAGATTATTTACTTATGAAGATACTGTATAGTCATGATATATCTATAAACAGTGATTTGATATCAACATTTAGCAATCTAATGTTCATTTAATGTTCATGTATATGGAATATATTCATAAGTATAATAGCACGGTTGGAGTTAAGAAATGTTGACATAAAGGTTAAAGCCCTATACCAATATGCAGCTTCCAGATCCTATGAATTGCATCTTCGATACCACATACAGTACATAATGGCAAGTGTCAATGATCAGAAAATGTAGTCGGATGCTGTTCATATTTTCAATATCACTTTTGAAAATATGCTAATCATAAATCTAAATCAAATATATGGCAGCTGTTGAAAACATGAAAAAACAACAATGAATTTTGGCAGAACGATCCTTGGTTCCTATTTCCTAGTTACCGGTATACTTGACATTGCTTGCATCAATGTAGAAAAGGGATTACCATGGTTGAACGATCCTATCAGAAATAATCCCCTCCCTCTTTCTCTCTCTTTCTCTCTCTTTCTCTCTCTCTCTCTCTCTCTCTCTTTCTCTTTCTCTATCTCTATCTCTATCTCTCTCTCTCTCTATCTATATCTCTCCCTCTCCCTCTCCACACAGGACTTAATCCTTTTTTTTTTTCCGGGGGGGGGGGGGGGGATAAGGAGGTGGGAAATTATGTGGGTAAAGTTTCTACTCAGACTGAATAGGCATACCATGGCATGCACCATAATTCCAGATTTATGCATGCAAATAAATTCAAAAAAGTTGATCATCTATTCTCCTGTATCTAATCTTTAGGCACTGGTAATGCTACAGCTACTAGGATGGATCTTTCTACCAGTGTACCTAGCCAGTGGTGTTTATACAATGCCGGAGTATCTGCAGAAGAGGTTTGGGAGCAACCGCATCAGGATGTACCTTGCCATTCTCTCACTTGTCATCTACATCTTCACTAGAGTCTCTGTAAGTGTTCTTTGCTGGTCTCCTGTATGTAAGGGCTATATAGCCCATTCAGAAAAGTTGCCCATAGTTGTGTTTGAATTTCAAAGGGAAATCCAACCTTGACAACAAACTACTCTTAGAGGAAAGCAACAAAATCAGTGAAGTAGACTGGTGAAAGTTTGAATGAAATTTGACAAAAAGTGAGAATGTTATGAATATTTGAAAGTTAATTGTAATCACAATAGCTATGGGCTCTTCAGAGTGGCTGAATCGGTAATGTCTCTTTGATGTACCGGCGGACAACTTTCCCATTTTTTCGAACACACAAAATGACTAAAAGTTCAATTTTTCAAAAAATGTTGACTATAAGGAGGGTCTTTTCTCTTTAGAGGGCTTACAATAACATGCTATAACCATTATATATTTTGAGTAGTGCCCTAAGGAAGAAGGAGCTTACAAGAAAAACAGAAATTCATTATATTTTTGTACACGACAAATGGGAGAGTTATACTCGACTATGTCACAAATCCACTCACCAAACTGCCTATTTGAGATTTACATAAACTTAGTGATCTCCTATTTGAAACATTCATAACTCTCTATTGATAGTCTGATTTATTTAAAACTTTCACCATTCGGTTTATCTTATTTTTCTGCTTTCATGCAAATGAGCTGTTTTATTACAAGGATTGGATTGCCCTTTAACTTATTTATTCAGAAATCTATCAAATTACACGAGGCACACAAGCAAAAAGAGCAAGAATAAGTTTCTTTGCTATGTTTAGGAATGTGTGTGCTACATATGAAATACGAAATACTTGAACAGTTGTGTCCACACCCTCTATGTTGAGAGTGAACAGCCCAGACATGATATGAAATGAAGTCTTGTTGATTTGTTTATGTGAACATGCCCTCTTCTATAAGCCAATTTGGAGATACTATTTACGCATGGGAATTTGTACAAAAACTAAAACATATCAAGAAGAATGCTGGATATATAGGTGTTCATGACAGTTAATTACTCATTTGTCATGTATGCACCATTTGTACAATCTATGATGCACAAGTAGAAGCATTCTTTTTAAGAGGGCAAACAAAATGTTTTCATGATGCACCTCCATCACTTAGGCAGTGATTATTCTAAAATTAACAAAGCAGGACTTCTCCATGTTTAGAATATTTGTGGACATTTGGGTATCAATTGTATGTGTGCTATCTCTGAACTGGTCTAATACCATCAGGTGGACCTGTATGCCGGTGCTTTGTTCATTCAGCAAGCCTTAGGATGGGACCTCTACCCAGCTATCTTCTGTCTCCTTGTGATAACGGCCATCTATACTATCACTGGCGGTCTAGCAGCAGTCATATATACAGAGACATTACAAACATGTATCATGTTGTGTGGAGCTCTATGGCTTTGTATAGCAAGTAAGATTGAGATTAAATCACTCCTGTCTATTGAGGCCACCCAAGGGAACAAGGAAGTGGCCACAGTAGACCAGTGGCCTTTCTAAACAGGTTCTGCAACGCATTTCTTTCTCAACAGGTGGCCACTAAGACAGGTTTGACTGTATTAGTTTAATTTGATTCAAATACTTCTGATTAAAAAATAAAAGATATTTATACTGGTTTTTAGCAGAATTCATTCATCAAGGAGAAGGGGGAACAGATTGTCTTACTCATAAAATGTTAACTACTTGTTATCATTATTCCAAACTATGTAAAAAAAAAATCTGTATAAATATATCATCAAAATTCTGTGTTTGTAGATTTTTTTTTTTTTTTTTTTTTTTGCTGTAGAAGGCTGGCAGGTATCCAGAAAGTAGATTTGAATAAGCAAGGAAATCATTTATTCTAGGATTAAGCACGAGCCTCTTATTAAATTGTGGACTTTCTACTTTCATTTTAATTCTTAGACTGCCATGTATGTACAGAGAAACTGTATATCAATATCTAGAATACACATTGAATGCATTAGTTTTTGCTAGGTCTTACAAATATTACGGCTTATCAAAACATTATGCTCGAATTCTTCATCTGATGATTGAAATACAATAACCCTGAAAAGGTGAATGGAGAAGTGTGTCTTGCCTCTTGACAATAAAATATGTATTAAATTGTAATGCTTTTCGAAAATAGGTTATTGTATATTGTAGAATTATGATGGATATGATTGATTTTGGTGTGACACATTTTCCAGTGACCATGGCCTAGGTTTTCTCTCGTGATGATTGTATGCGATGGGTTACATATCTTTTTTGTTATTTTTTTCTTAGGTTTTCATAAGATTGGAGGTTACGCCATGCTGGAGCCGCTCTATGCCGAAGCCATTCCTAATGAAACATTATATCGCAATGATTCTTGTGGGATGCCAAGAGATGATTTCTTCCATATGTTGAGGAATCCTGTGGGCTCAGACCTGCCCTGGCCTGGATACTTCTTTGGACAGAGCTTCGTAGCCATGTGGTACTGGGCAACGGACCAGGTCAGTAGAAATATCTTTCACCTTGATTGAAGAAAGAAAAGGAAAAAAAAAATCAGCTTTCAGCAGCTTTTGATGGTAACAGAAAATAAATATCATATGATAAATACATACAGAGCCCTGATTCACACATTCCCAATGGTTAATGTGGGAAACATGTGTGTGATAAGGCTGTGCATAAGCATGTAATGAGGGACTCGAGTACATGCCCGAGCTTACAGGCGGATACTCAAGTACTCGGCAGCCATGTTTTGTTTTGTTTTTGTAGTTTTGTATTTTGTTTTTCAAACTTAATACTTTTTTTGGTGATTTTACTCCCAAAAATAAGCTTGAGTCTGTACGGTCGGTGACACTCAATCCCGACTGTTTTTTCGAAGCTGACGCTCCGAATGAAATAGATCTAGTCTAGATGTATAGTCTAAACCCTCTAGTCTATAAGAAATGTTAGTATTACACACCACAAAAATTCATTCACCTTATACATAAATAAATAAAGGTTTCATATAAAGGTTGCGTATACTGGGTCTAAGCACGCTCGAGAAGCAGCTGGCTTTGGACTCACACAGCTATGTCACTTATTTGTCACTGTAGGGGATTATGTTTGCGCCTTGGACTTTGGACTCCCACAGCCATTGTTACCGAAGGGGATTATGTCAGTGCTTTGGAGGCCAAGCTAGCTTGCTCAGAGAGTATCTTCTGCATTGGACTCGCTACAGACATAATTCAACCATTTTATTTTAATTTCTTCCCTTCAAATTAGGAACAGAGGTTAGCTTCAAGTAGTATTCTGTATTCGCATTATGTTGAGACACAGAGATAATAATAATAATAATATTTAATTTTTAGATAGTTGTACACCACTGAAAAAATAGCCCCAAAAATAGAAGAAAGTAAAAAAAAAAAACATGGCGGCCAAGTATGCAAGTACGAGAAATCGTACTTGAGTAGTTTTCAATGGTGCAAGTATCAGAATACTCGTAGCAGCCTTAGTGGGTGAGGCTGTGATCAGAGATAAACACGAAAATAAGTTTTAGATATATGTTACAAAAAAGTGATGGAAGGTGGAATAAAGAGATTTTTAGATCCACAATTCAAAGATCAGTTGAAGTAAATGCACATACAGGAGCTGTTTTGTCTGTTTTGTCAAAGAAAATCACAAGAATGAACAAAAAGCAAAACGGCAGTATATTGAGCTGTCACATATATAGTGGCAACATTCAAATATTAATCCATGCTATCAAATTATCTCGTGAATGGATTCTCTGTCATTTTCATGGTGGCAGCAGTGGGATATATGAACCCATATTATTGAAATGACTGCTGAGTGAATTCTCATTTATTTGCATGGTGGCAGCAGTGAGGTATTCTGCTTCATTGGCATGGTGTCAGCAGTGGGATATTCTGCTCCATTTGCATGGTGGCAGCAGTGGGATATTCTACTTCATTTGCATGGTGGCAGCAGTGGGATATTCTGCTCCATTTGCATGGTGGCAGCATTGGGATATTCTGCTTCATTTGCATGGTGGCAGCAGTGGGATATTCTGCTTCATATGGTGGCAGCAGTGGGATATTCTGCTTCATAGGCATGCTGTCAGCAGTGGGATATTCTGCTCCATTGGCGTGGTGTAAGCAGTAGGATATGAACCAAACAGTGAAACGTTAATTTAAGGGCAATTATTACAGATACCGGGGCACAAAGACAGTGGCCTTACTTTAGCCCACAAATGTCCTTTGAATTTGCACTGCTGGGCATCGCCCAGATGTAAAAATCTCGGGATAGTATTGGAACCCAAACTATCAAAATTTCTGCTTTCCCAAACAATTAAATGTTAATTTAAGGCAATTACTGCAGATACTGGGGCACAAAGACAGAGGCCTTACTCTAGCCCACACATGTCCTTAATGTGCACTGCTGGGCATCACCCGGATATAAAAATCGTGGGATAGTATTTGAAACTTTTGCATCCTTTTTATTTCAAAAACGTGTCATAGTCTGAATAATGAATCATACTTGACTGTGTTCCACCAGCCATTTGATATTAGGATATAGGGGTGCGTTGTACAAAAGAAAACGTGCTAATGTTGTCTATCTGTCTGCAGGTGATTGTCCAGAGAGCACTGGCAGCCAAGAATCTCTCACACGGTCAAGGAGCAACATTGTTAGCTGGCTTCTTCAAGATTTCACCTCTCTTTCTCATCGTTATGCCTGGGATGATTGCCCGCATATTTTACACTGGTAAATCTTCTTCTCACTTATTTGTACATTTTGTGTGTGTAATGCTGTAATAAACCTACATGTACACATTTGTCCTACTCTGGTACTCCTTGATGTTTATTTTTGTTTGCCCTTTTACACATACATGATACATTTCATGTTTTACTTCGGTACACCTACATACTGTGTTACAACTTGTTTTAAATTTCTTATTTTATTTGTGTAACAGAATGTATATTTTGTTTGGTTTAACATTGTACAACTTGATGTGCATATCTTGATTTACTTTCTTATACCTTCATTAACATTTTTATGTACTCTGGTTTACCTACATATGCTATATTGTTTGATAATTCTGATTTCTGTGGGATTCTCTTGTAATTTTGATGTGGGACACCTCTCAAGAAAAAGGGCACTATATAATTCCTCTTATTACGCCTAGATGTACATTTTTTAAAGTTGTTTTACTGTTGCATACCCATGTGTAAATTATTTGTTTTGATTTCTTACTGTTATTTGTTTGTTTGTTTGTCTCGATCTGATATATCTAGATTTACAGTTTATTTTGAAATTTATGTTGAAATTTGTAATCACTTTAAGTGACTGGATGGACATGATATCATTGTCATTGGCGTAAACATCTAAAAGATTTAATGATCTTTGGTTTAAACATCTAGATTTGAGCTTAAACTGCTGTCATTTGAAAGGGAAAAGGCATTCGCAATGTTTGTTGTGGAAATGTAAAACTATGTTATGTATTTACTTGGGATATATGTTAAACTTAGATTGACTTTAACAATACTTTAATCAGTCAATGAAAATGCTCACATACTTCATCGTGTGTCATACTTTGTTTTTTATTTCAGATGTTGTTGCTTGTGTGGATAATTGTGAAGAAATTTGTGGTTCCAAGACGAGTTGTTCAAATCTTGCCTTTCCTCTTCTGGTGTTTGATCCAGATCTCCTACCTGAAGGTATGATTCACTTAAAATATACCAATCACCTGAAGAAAAAAAACCTTGATACAGCTTGAATGCAAATCATTATCTTAAAAAAACTTTACCAGGCATTCTATGGGCTAATAAAGGCATTCAAAGAAAATAATGATAACGTAAAACCTGCATGCACCTGGAACCGTTGTCAAACTTGGGTTCCATCGTGTGGGCTATATTCTGTGGTAGTGTACGGTTGAGATGACTATAGTCTACTCAGAAATTGCCTATGTGTGAATTGAGAGTGTATTTAAACTTGTCATATCTCTTCGAAGCAGTCTTCTAGGCTTATATTTTGAATATAGTATTGAGACATATAACCTCTTTGGTGATTGGTATACACTTTCAAGTATGTTCTTCATTTGAGATCAGTACTTGTTTTTCTACATATCTTAATTTAGAGTGGAGTTGGAAAAGAGGAGGGGGGAGAAGCAGTTGGCACTGAATGAAAGTGTATCTTCTGTAGAATCTGACACTGAAAGTTGCTTTTAAAAACGGATGAACAGAATATTTGCTTCTGTTTTTTTTACATGATTGTTTTCCCCCTGAATGTTACAGATTCTTTATTTTATTTTTATTATGAATTAAAAATTTAATAGTGGGAGAATCCTTTCCCATATTAGCTAATCATTATATTCTGACTTTCTGTTGAAGAAAGTACATGAGCCCAAATAACATTGTAGTTAAAGTCATTTAAAGTTTCAAATTTTGGATTGTTTACTTTTGCTCATCTCTATTCAGTTACTAAGTGTAATGTATACGCTGTATAAACCTTTACATTATCACAGGAGCCCATGGTTTATTAACCGCTGTAATACTTTGCGCCCTCATGAGTTCACTATCATCCACCTTCAATAGCAGCTCCACAATATTTACGATGGACGTGTGGCGATGGATGCGAAAGATACCTAGTGATAGAGAGATGGGACAGCTTCCGAGAGAGACAGCTCGGAAACATGAAATGGAGCTGATGATTGTGGGCAGGTAAATCTTCTGTGTTTATAGGAATAATTTCATAATCATTCTACATGTTGCTATCTGTTTTGTGAATGCCCTAGTAAACTTAAGAATGCAGAATTTAAAACGTATACAAAGAGGGGAAAAGAAGAATTACTGTTTACAGACAATATTTTATTTAGATCTTTGATAAAAAAACTTATATAGCCACACAAGGTGTAAATAGATATCAACTGCTACATTATTTTACCCCTTTTCTATATCCCAATACCACAGGACATGAGACAAAGTCTAGAATCTTTTCATTGTAAATGGCCTATATGATGTATGCATGCACCAAGATGCCATAATGTCAACTTTTGTTAACAAACGAACAAAATTGAGAATAACGAGAAGTGATTAAGTGATCGTAAACTATGAGGTATAATAAGCTTTCATTCATTCTATTGCTTGACAGGTTATTTATTGCTATCATCATCATGGTCAGTGTTCTCTGGGTTCCCATCGTCCAGAACAACTCCAGCGGACAGCTATTCGTCTACATCCAACAGGTTATAGCCCAGCTGGCGCCCCCTATCACCGCTGTCTTTATCCTCGCTGTCTTGTGGGAGGGCACCACAGAGCAGGGTGCATTCTGGGGGCTTGTAATCAGTTTGGTACTCAGCATCATCAGGATCAGTTTGACTGTGGCTTTTCCAGAGCCTTTGTGCGGCGAGGTGGACAGTCGGCCGCCATTCGTGGCTGCAATCCTTGTTAACTACATGTACTTTGCTCTGATTCTCTTTGCTTGGAGCATGATGTGGGTGATAGGAATTAGCCATTTTACAGAACCTGTACCTTCACAATATGTGAGTATTAAAACATGATAAACATTCCATATTCATAATTCAGTTTTACCATTTATAATAATTAATGTTAAAGATTTGCAATCTTAGTGTATTTTTCATTATTTGTTGTGATGCAATGTATGAAATCTAATTTTACAATTTATGCACCATGCTTGGAGCATGATGTGGGTGATAGGAATTAGCCATTTTACAGAACCTGTACCTTCACAATATGTGAGTATTAAAACATGATAAACATTCCATATTCATAATTCAGTTTTACCATTTATAATAATTAATGTTAAAGATTTGCAATCTTAGTGTATTTTTCATTATTTGTTGTGATGCAATGTATGAAATCTAATTTTACAATTTATGCACCACCTTTGATTTCAAGCAGAATGATAAATTTTTCTTTGTCAGAACAGATGACATTCAATTAATAATAAAGGCAGCTATGCAATACAACGTTGGGCCAACGTGAAGCAAACCTGTGCTGTTATGTTGGCCCAACTTCTTTTTGCCGGTTGGCTCGACTGCAACAAATTGACGTTGGGCCAACGTCGGGCCAACATTACGCCAACCCCTTTCCCACCATGTGCCATGGTCCAACGTTGTAACGACAACCAAAGTCCACCGTTTGCCATTGGAAAAATGACGACAATGGCCAAACGTTAGCTCGCTGACTTTGAACGTGCCGACCATGCCCGATGTTGGCCCAACGTCATATTTTTATCTGGGATATTCTCCAGTATGACATCCTACTTGTTTTTACATTTAAATTATTGCAATTCCAATAAGATATTATTTGAATCTTTCTTCAAATTGTTGTCTAGTCTCTGACTTTGAGCAAATCCTGCCAAAGATTCTTAGTGTTGTACATACGGAAAGGGTTGCTTGACTGTACATTTTAGTTTCAAGAGATATATTGTATGCCCAATTTAAGAAGGAAACAAAGTATCAAAATTTTACTCGAGGAAGTTTATTGCGGAGTTAATATGGAATATTCATGTAAATGATAAATCCCATCCCCTTAAAATCAGGAGTGATATTCATGGAAGAGTAGTGAATGAGAACCCACTATCTGAAAATAGAATCATCACCACCATCATCATCATTTATTAAAGTTAGCATTTTCCCTTTTACGAGGGGTTACTGACTTTCACGATATGATGACATTCCCTCTTATTTCCATTGCTTCTTGTCTCAAGCATCCTCCTCATTTAGACCAACCTTATAGCTTTCTTTCTTCACCTTATCTTTCCATGAAATCTTCGGTCTACCCTTCCCTCGTATATGACATCCACTTCCAGATCCAATGCTCTTATTGCAGCTTCATCATCTTCCCTTCTCAACATATGACCCATCCATCTTAATCTTAATTCTCTTTACCACTTCCACCATAGTTTCCTCCAGATGCATCCTTTCCATGAACTTTCTCGTGTTCTTTCTATCGGACTGTTTCACACCAAACATTTTCCGTATCATGGCTCTTTCAGTTCTCCTCAAGATACCCTTTTCTACCGTCTTCACATTCCAAAAATTATTGTCTTCATTTATTCAATATTATAAAGATATTTTACAGATTAGTATTCAACATAGTTTACATAGATATACAGTGTGAGTCCAATAAAAAGTTTACACCTAGAAAATTACTAATTATTTAAATAATCATCAATGAACATTAATTTGTTATATGTCTTATGAAAGAGTGTTTCATCCAAAATCATTTGGTACCATTTTTGTGTGGTATGTGTGTTAACGCTTGGATGAACAGGAGACCTTGTTTGCGAGAGTGCAAAAATCGACTTGCGCCAAAGTTGCCTATGTGATTTTTGAATAAAACAGTTGGGATTTGGGTATTAATTCGGTCTTTGCAGATCCAAATAACATCCCTAAAAAAATTAATCATGCCACACATATCAAATATCGAATATCAAATATCAACAAACATTTGTGCGCGTGTGTGTGGGTGTGTGTGACTTTGCCGTTTGCAAAAAACATGTGCAATGCATTTCATTTGATACATTCAATCCATTCTCTCACTCCGCTAATCCCAACATAATACATACTGTAGGCATCACTTTGGTGCAAGTCGATTTTTGCACTCTCACAAACAATGCCACCTGTTCATCCAAGCATGAACACATACCACACAAAAATGTTACCAAATGATTTAGGATAAAACACTCTTTCATAGGATGTATAATAATTTACTGTTCATAGATGATTTTTTAAATAATTAGCAATTTTCTAGGTGTAAACTTTTTTTTGACTCACACGGTAGATAGATGTGGAGAGCTTAATTCTTGTGAATTTGCTTGGCTTTCTATGTGTCTCCTAGTTGTACCGCCTTACATTCTGGACACGGTTCAGCAGAGAAGATCGTCAAGATATAATGGAGATGAGAGGAGAGTCAGAACAAGAATCCTTTGAAACAAAAGAAAAGGTGAGATTTTGAGCAGAGGTAGATAGAGATGGGAGAGAAATAGTGGGGTGGGTTAGAGAAAGAAAAGAGAGAGAGAGAGAGAGAGAGAAATTGCCTTTTGAAACAAAAGGGAAGTTTGAGATATAGAGCAGAGGCAGATAAGTAGACAGAGGGAAAGTCTTATGAACCAAAAGAAAAGGTGTAATTTTAATCAGATGTAGATAGAAATAGGGAGGAAGAGAGAGAGGGAGAGAAAGATTGAGAGAGAGGGAGAGAGAGGGAGAGAGAAGAATTTTTAAAAACAAAATTATATGTGTGAGATGCACTTGTTATTATTGTTCACATTATCTTTCGCATTTGACCTTTGACCAGGAAAGAGAGGTAAGAGAAAAGGATGAAATGGAATCTTCAGTTGACAACTCTATGGAACCTTATCATGTACTCAGGAAAACCAAAGAAGGTGAGAAATATGTTAATGATTCTAATGTTAGACGATAATAATAAGAAGAAGAAGAAGTAAAAGAATATTAATAATAATTATAATAACAATAATAATGAAATGATAATAAAATTAATAATAATAATAATAATAATGATAAAGATTATAGCGATAATAAAACTGTCATGATAATAGCAGTAGTTTCAGTTTCATTTTTATTTCACTTCCAACAAGCATATATCAATTACCTAAATTGAACACTGTAAAAATACACTGACTAGGTTTTTTATGTAAACAAGGCTTAACAGTGTATAACTTCATTAATTCAGTGTATAACAGAAATCTTATGCAATTGAGAGGGCCTACAGAAATGCTATGTCCTTAAAAAGATAATAATACTATCAAATAATAATACTTATAAAAGCATTGATTTAACTTCCACTCAAGTCTTTGTTATACATACATAAATACTGCACACTGCATTTTAATTTCCTTTAGATTTTATCAGGGACATGCTAGACATGTCCCTGGATTTTATGAATGATTTTCAGGTTTCTTCAGTACTGGTTTTGACATCATCACTAAATGCCAGTGAAGAGATGATTTGAAGAAATTGATTTAGATCATCAGAGGAAACTGAAACCACAATTTTCTGAATGTTAATTTTAGCTTGGATTTCATATTTCTGTTCCTTACTTCAATTATAAAAGTTAAGTCAATACAACAACTAATCTCCTCTAAACGTTGTTTCACCATTAGATTATCCCCTTATCGAAAGAAATGAGACAAGTCGATGGCGTCGTGGATGGAACTGGTTCTGTGGCATCTCGTCACAAGAGGGCGTCCTAATTACAGATGAAGAGCTTGAGCAACGTGAAACGAAGCAGATGGATAAAGTGATTCAGAGCAAGAGAGATAGGTACATCTTGAGCTCTGTAGCAGTAGTGGTAATTGGACTTGATATCTTTCTTTTTGCGTACTATGGTTGATTTTACAACAAGGTACAGGTGTACTTGTTTGACGTCAGATTACCGATAAAGCGAGGTTTTGTGGAATAAATCACATATCTACAGATTCCTCCCAATGTTGAAATCATCAGTAATGATTTATTTTATTTCAATAATAATAATAATAATAGTGGGTTCTTGTACAGCGCTCATGTCTGTCAGATTTGACACTCCTGACGCTCCCGATTATTACCCTGGCTTTAGCATGGCTGCCATTACAGCGCTCTAGCATTTCAAGGAATTAATTTTCTGCGAGGTACCCATTTACATCACCTGGGTCGAGTGTGGCAAATGTAGATCAATGTCTTGCCAAAGGACATTAGTGCTGCGGCAGGACTTGAACAGCAGACTTTGTGATCGACAATCCGGTGACATATCCACCCGACCACGTCACAGACTACATGGAAGAGGTAGAACAAGAATTTGGATGGTGTCAGACTTGATAGGGGACAGATCAAATGGCATAATGAAGAAGAAGGATAAAGATAAAGAGGGACGGAGAAAGAAAGAAACAAAGAGGGCTGTGGTGTGTGGATCTGCCCTTGGAAAAACATCTGAGAGAGAGAGAGAGAGAGAGAGAGAGTAATAGCAAGAGAGAGAGAGAGAGAGTGAGAGAGTAAGAGCAAGAGAGAGAGAGAGAGCGAGAAAGAGAGAGAGGGGTGGGGGAGGGAGAGACCACCCTTTAAACGATCTGCCCCTGGGAGGGAATTGTTCCATAATATGGCATTCCCTCCTAATAAGAGGGAAAATGCTGACTTTTTATAACTGATGATGATGATTTGTTAATTGGGAGAATTAATTCCTGTTTTGGTAACAGGGAAATTAATCCTCATTTACTAATTGGGAGAATTAATTGTTATTTATTTATTTATAAAGGGAATCGATTCTTTTCGATATCAAATGCTTGGCTATTTCGATATTGTTTTTACCAAATACTATTGTGATTTTGATACAGATTTACTTAGTGTAAATTGAGCTGAACCAACCAACAATAATGGCTAAAGAATGTTACTATTTATATTGGGATCAAATATTGCATGTACCGGGTATGTTTAAACCATATGCACATTTAACTAAGATTGTACTAACTGAAATTATTCTGCTCGTTTTTTGGCCATATCTGGACATATTTAAGTCTTAATTGAGAATTTTCAATTTTATTATAGTATTGATGACTGCTTTGAGAGAAATAGTTGTTTTTATACGCTCAAGGGAAGGTTAGAATTGTGCTATTGCCCCGAGGCGTGCTATTTTACAGAAATAGTTAAAGTTTATGAATGCAATTTCGACCAATCAGATGGCTGGATTTCTTAAGTGAGGTATATAAACATGTCTATGCACATTTTGATATGCAGATATATGTCACATGCATCCATTTCGATTGCGAAATTCAATTTTCAATTATATGTTCATTTATACATGCAGAGGACATCTACCCTGATATTAAGTTGGATTAATAAAATCAGAATTAAAAAATGAGAGCAATGGATGAGTGGAAGTTTGAGTAAAATCTGATGAAGGATAAACTAGTTATGAATTTTTAAAATCATTCTATGTCAAATACATACAGTGGGACCTCAAAATAAAAAATAAAAAGGAAATTACCCTGTTGCATTCCAACCATGTTTATATCAGGGCTAAACGAAAAAGGGAATACAAAGAGGAGGGGCTAGCAAAATCACATTGTTATAATGAGAGTTTGTTTTTATAGCAATGTTCTTATAACATGGTTATGCTGCATTGGTCACTATGTCATTTACATTGCCAGCACCATTCCCATGTGTTTTTGTACTTAAAGTACATTTAACATTTTCCTGTTTAATGAAGAAGGAATAGATCGGTGTATTCTATAGAAGGGATGTGTACAAATGTTATATTCCATGGTACAGGTATAATGAAATATATTCTGTAGAGAAAATAAAAATGTAATTTGAATATTTTGCTATAAAGCAAATGATACCATGGTATAGCTATATAATACATACTTGCCATTTTTGTTTCTTATTGGTTACAGCTTTAAGATATCTAAAATTTGTTATCTTTACACAATTTTCCTCAAAATTTTTCCTGCTTTGTCTCTGAACCAAGATCATATTAGAATGAACCATTTTGATAGTTCAGGGGTATATTCAATCCATTGTGTACACTATTAACAATTGTCTTCCATGTGTTTTTCTATTTGATTTCCTGAAAATATATATTTGTATACCTATCTTCACATGATTTAATTAGCTTTTTTTCATCACCTATTGAAATATAGAAATATTACAGTAATGTATTACATATAATCTGAAATGATTTTTAAGGAGTATTGAAATTGCCATGGAGTTTTTTTTAAATATTTGCGATAGTCTTAATATATCATGTGATTTAGAAAAAAATATTCCCGGTGCTATTATTCTTGTATCTTTAATTGTTTTTATTATACATGTATTTTGGAAAGTTTATATTATGGAATATGAGGTATTAAATACTGTGATAGAAATAAAATTATATTTTATTACTATACAAACTTTTAGTTGTATCATGTGTCATATTTTCAAGCTCTCTTAGTTATGTGCACAGGGCAGATGTCTGTGAAAATGTGTTCAGTCCATGAAACAAGTAGACGACTAACAACTAGTTGGCCACCTTGTATGATTTCTGCATCAACTTCACTGAACTTTAAGACAGATTTGTCCAAATTGGGTCTACATGGATACAATTAATTAACCCTCAACTCGGCCCGTCACATTAAAACTCCATCAGATTTCCTCAAAAATCTTCAATGTGTGTTTTTATTTTGATAGATTATTATTATAGTTATTATTTTCTCTTGATGAAGATCATATAACATATGTAAGGTTGGAAGATATGGTTAATTAGATTAGCATGTGTCCAAGAAAAAGGGGTACCCGAGTCGCCATCATAAAGGCCAAATATAATTTTCACCACAAACCTTTTGGGGAAGAGAAGAAAGGACACACTGACAAGTAACAACCAAACACTGACACGCTTCACTTCACATGAGAAAGAAGTGATCTCGTGACAATGATACGGTCATTTTGTGAACAATAACAAAGGCGTCAACTTTAAACGAGTTGCAACCGAAAAGATTCCAGCTGTTATAAAGTATTATGAAAATGCACTTGGTAACATAAAACACGTTGTATATATATATATATATATTATAAATAAATCTTTGTATCGAGAGAAAGAGAGAGAGAGAGAGAGAAAGATCGATCGGCCCCCTTGTATGATTTCTGCATCAATTTGACTGAACTTGACTGAATTTGACTAAAAGATTTGTCAAAATTGGGTTTTGATAGATACACGTAAACTTCAAATCTGCCCCACCACTTCAAAAGTCTTCAATGTTTGATTTTATTTTGATAGATTATTATTATAGTTATTATTTTCTCTTGATGAAGATCATATAACATATGTAAGGTTGGAAGATATGGTTAATTAGATTATCATGTGTCCAAGAAAAAGGGGTACCCGAGTCGCCATCATAAAGGCCAAATATAATTTTCACCACAAACCTTTTGGGGAAGAGAAGGAAGGGAACACTGACAATTAGCAACAATCAGAAGCTGAAAGACACGCTTCAGTTCATATGAGAAAGGTGTGATCTTGTGACAATGATACTGTCATTTAGTGAACAATAACAAAGGCGTCAACTTTCAGAGTTGCAACAGAAAATATTCCAGCTGCTATAAAGTATTATGAAAATGCACTTGATAACATATAAGATATGTTATATATATTTACATATATATATATATATATATATATATATATATATATATATATATATATATAATATATATAATACACAATTGTATTTAGAGAAAGAGAGGGGAGAGAGGGGGGGGGGGGGGAGAGATCGTAAACTTACATATGAATATAATTCCAGTGAAAGATGAGGGTATATGCATGGGAACTGCAGACTCCATTTCACAATCATCTCTGGGCGTTTGCTTTTTGTTGTATTTGACCTTCCGCATCGAGCGAGTTGTTTTGCCAAGCTGAGATGAGAAAACAGGGGAAGTATAGTTGTATCTTGGAGACCTGATTCGGTCACAAGTTGTATTTAATATTGATCTAATTCATAAAATCAAATATGCAATTACACAATTATTGTTCATTGATAGATGATCAAATGTTCGATGGCAGCCAACACAGTAAATGACCCTTCGACTTTCCTGCGTCGTAATTATAGCATAATTATGTAAATGTTTGGTTCTATGACGACTTACAAACTACGATGCTAAGTATGAAGAGACACCAATATTTAACTGAGTTTTTTGTTGTATTCTGTCAAATTTTAAAGCCAACGCTGGTAAATTTTGGGTTCAAGCTTTTATTTAAAAAAAATCGTGTTCAACAGAGGAAGTCAGTCTGAGGTCTACTTGTTTGAAAGAAAGGGTCTTTTACATACACTGGGTCGATTCTAAACTTCTAACTGAAATTTGTGTTTAAATTTTCGACATTTTAATTTAGGATCACCAGATATATCTCGTTTGTACTTAGAAGCTAGACATTAAGTGAACTTAGTGTAATTGATGAACTAGGTTCTTGTTGTAAAAGCTAGTTTATTATGAGAAGAAACTTCTTCCACGTCTCCCAATTATTGCCGACACCCTTTTGATTGTACGAAGCGTTACGAATGCCAAACAACCTTGAATGAAATATATTCAATCAATAGAATCCCTGTTTGTAGTAAAGTTGGAAGGTGTACGTGTGACGTGCTTCTCTCATCAATTCATTATTCATTCTTTCTAGAGATACAAATATTATTTTGGTTCCTGATGGTTATTATCTTTGTTCTCGTGGGCGTGTCACCGTTTTGGTCACAATTATATTGCCTCTCTTGTAAGTAGCCCCCTGTGATAAATCGTGCAACTATTGATGCTTGTGATATATGCTGCCTTCATATATGTAGGTGCAAGGATCAAACTAGGAATTTCATCGGATTAATACATTTTACTGAATACACTACACCACGATGCGATGGAGGTAAATAAGTGATTTTCTTTTATCATTTAAGAATTGTGATTCGGTGTGAAAGGTTGGTCGCTTTAGAAGTTTGCAACTATTACTCCGGTTTTTTCTTTTTTATACAGAAGCATTATCTTCTATATGCAAAATAAGCTGCTTCTATTTTTCACATATTCCTTATTTGGGCCAGTGTAATGGAGATAAAAATGTCCTAATTTCTTTATTTTCATCTATTGGTGCTTAATAATTTTCACCTTTCCTTCTCTTCTATGCTGCTCCACTTTTCCCTTAGATTCTCTTTTTTTCCTTTTTCATCAAAATATTTGATTCCTTCTGTATTTTGAGTGCGGTCGATGAAATATGCTTACCTATGTATATGGGGTTGAACATTCATGTCATGCTGCAATGGCACAATTGATTTGATTCATAAAATATAATTTTTTTTTTTAAAGGAAGTATTGTATGGAATATGATTCGTGGAATCATTCATTCTTTCATTTACTCGTTCATTCAATCATTCATCCGATCAATCATTCAATCATACATTCAATCAAACATTCGTTAATTCATTCATTCATTCATTCAATCATTCAATCATTCATTCAATCATTCATTCCATCATTCATTCGTTCATTCATTCAATCATTCATTCCATCATTCATTCATTCATTCAATCATTCATTCCATCATTCATTCCATCATCATTCCATCATTTATTCATTCATTCATTTCATCATCCATTCATTCATTCATTCCATTATCCATTCATTCATTCATTCATTCATTCAATCATTCATTCATTCATTCCATCATCCATTCATTCATTCATTCATTCATTCAATCAATCATTCATTCATTCATTCCATCATCCATTCATTCATTCATTCAATCATTCATTCATTCATTCCATCATTCATTCATTCATTCAATCATTCATTCATTCATTCCATCATTCATTCATTCACTGTTTTATTATCCATATAGATACGTAATGTTTACATGTGTACATGTTTACATGATGCGAACTGTATACATTAGATGTTGCTAGAAAGGGAAATTCGTAATGCTTTTTATAACAGCAACAAATAATGTATGCAATTCGCTTTCTGACTATTGAGATGCAATTGATTGTATTATTATGTAATAATCGAGGCATGAAGACTTATGCATTAAGTTTTGTTACATTACGAAAATCGCTTAATAATAACTAATTCTTCTTCCTTTTTTTCATTTTGCTTTTCACCCTCGTATTTTTTTTTTTTTTGTTTCCTTCAATCAGCTTCCATCTGGTATATTTTCATGATATAACTCTTTAAGTTCGTTAAGTATTGTGGGGAGAGATTTCATTTAAACATGTCCCCTGCATTTCTCCCTCCCAGAGGAAAGAGACCGCATACCTGCTGGTGTGTATCTACTCCGCAGTGACGTGTTTCCTTCTCTTCTGCCTCCTCTATGAAACCCACCACGATGTTTCCCAAGCTTACCCCCCTTCCAGACGATTCACCATTAATCTGTCCTCCGAAGACGACATCCTGACCCTGACCCACCACGATGAAAAGCTAAATGAGGGAGGAGAGGGAGGTAGAGATGATGTTCTGATACCAGAGGATGGGGATGATGATGCTGTGATACAGGAGGAAGAGGAAGGTGTAAAGGGTGTAGGTGCTTGGGGATCATCAGGAGAAACCGATGAATCTGAAGGTGGGGTACCAGAGGAAGGGGGTGCAGGGGCTGGCGGAGCACGAACAGAAGGAAGAGAAGGTGATGTTGTGCCACATGGAGAGGGTGTAGACGATGTGGCGAGTGGGGTGGAGACGAGAAACCAGTCGGGACACAATATACCCCCTTCCTCTCCAGCAAACCTTTCTTCAAGTGGATACTTTATACTGGATACTAAACAGGTAGGTTTATTTCTTTTCCGTTACCATTACCATTTCTCGTCCAAACTCCTGTTCTCAAAAAGCTGCACTGGTTGCCAATCCGCAAGCGCATAGAATTCATAATCCTTCTCCTCACATGGAAGGCTGTAAACGGATTAGCACCAAACTATTTACAAAACCTTGTTATGCCTTATACCAGCTCGTAGTCTAAGATCATCACACCAGCATCTTCTTAAGATCCAAAAGACACGAGTAGCCTGTGGTGAAAGGGCTTTTTCATCTGCAGCACCTTGTCTTTGGAATAATTTACCATTTAATTTGAGAATTATAATTTCCTTAGAGACTTTTAAATCCAAGCTGAAATCTTATCTTTTTTTTTAACAATACCTGTACTTGGCACTATGACACTCATTCGAACTTTTTCGTCCAAACTTTCTCATTCTTTCTATTTTTCTCTAGATAGATGGCGCTATACAAATGCCTATTATTATTATCAATCACATCAATTAAAGTTTTACGCAGTATACTATTTATCATTTAGTATATTTTAAGAATTTAAATCACATATTGTGTATACATCATGAAATGAAGTACGACAACGAAAATATTGCAAATGAAGACGTGGATGAGAAGAAATATTTACGATCACTCAGAATGGTTATCTAGAGTATGAAGCTGATATTTGGCCATTTAATTAATAGCCCTTTGAGGATGAGATTTTGTATAATCAACTCAAAGACTACACTGCTCATAAATCACATGCAGTGGCGTATAGCTAAGGGAAGCACTTACCCCTCCCCAGTCAAATGACGAATTCAGGGAAAAGAAAAGGAAAGAGAAGAAAGACATTTTAAGAAGAGAAGAGAGAAAATGGAGGGGAAGGGTGACAACTTATCTTCCCGTTCCCTATCCCTTAATCGATGGTCGGTTAATTCGCATTTTATTCATCAATTATAAGACCGATGCCCTCTCAAAGTCTCAATGAATAAACGCACACTAGGCTACTTTTTATATTAATGATTCTAATTTTATTGGATGTTTTATTTGTGTATATACGATGATATTCTTAGGTATATTCAGAAACCTAAACATTATAGTGTTTAACAAATTCTCTGATTCTGCTTGTGATGTCTTTGATTTCTTCAGCCATTCACGAAGCGGTGTAGACTATGTGCGTTGGTATCGAGTGGTGGTCATCTGTATCGGTCTGGAGCCGGTGCCGAAATCGACAGCGCTGATTGTGTCCTTCGTATGAACACCGCCCCGGTCACCGGCTATTCTAGCGACGTCGGGCTTCGTACCGACATCCGAATCATCGGCCACGTCAACCTCCCACGAGGACTCGTGAAGAGGAGTTCGTTGAGGAATGAGATCTTGTCGAACTCGACGACGAGGACGAGATACGTCGTGGTGCCCTGGCTGAATAAGGAGAAAGTGAACATGAAGACGAATAAGATTGTCAAACTCGCGAGGCAGTACAAGCGCAAGTACCCTAAGGTTGATTTCGTCTTCCTGACAACCAAGAAATATTCTCAGTCAGAGGCGAGGTACAAGAACGAAACAGGGTATTCCAGGTAATGACATATTGTAATATTGCAGAAGTAACATAATATGAACAGGAAGATGGTCGGGTGGAGGGGGGTGGGGGGGGGTGGTGGTAGTGGTAATAGAAGAGTAAATTATTATTATCATCATTATAATGGTTATCATCATCATTATTATAATTATCATTATTATTATTATAAATGCTAATACTGTCATTATGATTGTTTGTAGTAGTAGTAGTAAAAGTAATTCCATACATGTAGTAGTAGTAGTATAGTAGTAGTAGTAGTAGTAGTAGTAGTAGTAATAGTAGTAGTAGTAATAGTAGTAGTAGTAGTAATAGTAGTAGTAGTAGTTATAGTAGTAGTAGTAGTAGTAGTAGTAGTAGTAGTAGTAGTAGTAGTAGTAGTAGTAATAGTAGTAGTAGTAATAGTAGTAGTAGTAGTAGTAGTAGTAGTAGTAGTAGTAGTAGTAGTAGTAGTAGTAGTAGTAGTAGTAGTAGTAGTAGTAGTAATAGTAGTAGTAGTAGTAGTAGTAGTAGTAGTAGTAGAAGTAGTAGTAGTGTTTATTTTCACCCGTTGATCGAGTACGAATGGACTTAGGCCTAATTCATTTTCATTTATCAATGTAATCACGGTAACTCGATTTAGCCTACACTGTAAAAAAAAAGGTTGGGCAGATGTTACTGGGTAAATCGAAGTTGGGCAAATTTTGTCTAATAATTGGGTTATTTTCTCCCAACCATTTACTATATGAAGTTACCCAATGAAAGGTAAAAAATAGGTTGGGTAATGTCATTGGGCAAACGTAAGTCGGGCAACATTATTATCCAACAATATAGGGTTATGTTTATTCATTAGAGGTGTCGGGATCGAGTGGATATGTCACAGGACTAAGGATTACAAGGTACGCGTTTCGAGTCCCGCCGCGGCACTATTCTCCTTTTATATTTTATCCAACTTATTTGCCCAACTAGGTGTGTAACTTATGCTACACATTATAGTGAGAGTTAGGTGAATTTCTGATTGGGTAAATTTTTGTTGGTTAAAAGTTGGTATTTTCTTTTTATCCAACACTGGGTAAATCATGCAAAATCTGTAATTTACCCAACAGTTGGTTGGACACATATGCTGGGTAAAAATTGGGCAATTTTTTGCCCAATATTTTTTTAGAGTGTAAACGGCTATTTTTCTTCTTCTAAGAGTCCATGCACTCATGAGCCTCAATAATCCTTTCGTGGAATGCTGGAAAGAAAAGGCTTTACCTCAAGAAATCTTGCGAGTTCTTTTCTTCTTTTTCTTCTCCTCTTCTTCCTGTCCCTTATTCTTGTGTACTCTATCCTTTCAGAGCCGCGATGCGAACAAAATTCAGCACGGGCTTTGTATCCATGGTATTTGCTCTTGATATCTGTGATAAGGTGCTGGTATACGGAATATCAAGGGATGACTTCTGCAAGTATGTTTGCGATCATTTTTAATTTCATATTTCTCTATACTATACGACGGCCTCATTTAAAAAAAGAACAAGACTTAGTTTACTGTAAGGTATACGCATCCACTTATTTTGTTTAATAACCTCTGAATGAATTTCAAAGTAAAAAAAAAAAGCATTATACGCAACAAGCATTTACTTTAATGTTCTGAAAACTTACACTGGATCTGATGTAAACCAAATTATAAAGTCATTTTTTACCCTTCGGATTTTGGAAAGACTAGCGCCTCCCATTGGGGCATAATTATTATGCACCCATTTGTCTTGACATCAGGCTCTAATGTATTAGCGTACGTAATAACGCAATGTAAATAAATGCATGAAATGAAGAGGTTCTGACTGGCCTACATGTAGGATTTTAAGTTCCTGAGTAGATGCAAGTCTATACTCCATGTACAGACCAGAAAGGCCTACGAGAACATAAATCCATGATTTGGAAGATTGTGATGTGAAACTGTTCTATCTAATCATTGGCTGCTCAGAGGGGCGTTATGACAAAACATAGATCTAACACCCTTCTATATAGCGAACAGCCGACGGTTTCATGTCTCTACTGATTTTATGACATCCGTTTTCTCATCCTACCATTCCTCGTCATTTTCTTCTCCTTTCAGGAAAAATCCAAAGGCAAAGGTCCCCTATCACTACTACGAACCTAAGAAAAGGAGCGAGTGTTTCTTCGTCAAAAAATCGGAGATGAATTATAAAAGTGGCCACAAGTTTTTGACAGAACATGCGATGTTCGCACGATGGTCTACCGTTCGCAACATCACTTTTCGCTATCCATCGTGGAATGGCTCAGAAGCATCCGGACGCGTCGGTTCATACTATTTGAAGAAATATAAAAACACATTAGGAAAGACTTTGAAAAGCAAGAAAGGATGAGTTACAATGTTCACATCGCCACAGAGATATGTATATGCGAGACGGTGTGACAGCGAGTTTAGTCATGTGCTCCTTCTGTCCGGAGCAGTCATGAAGAAGTTTTGCCCCAGCATAATTTTTATGTTTAGGGAAACCTGCTTTCCGATAATACTTTATATACTTATACTATCACGTTGTCTTGTTTGTAATTTTTATAGGTAAATACATGTTGATTCAACATCGAAATTTATCTTTGTAATGGACTATTATACGCAATGTAACCATAAGGAAATATCAAGCACGTGAGTTTTAAAAAAAATAAGGGAAGATACTGATTTGTTTGTTTAATATTGAGTACTTTTAGCAAAATCTCTGGAGAAAAAGAAAAAGAAAAAAAAAAAATCAAAATTGGCCAGAAATTTAATTCCTGATATTTTCTTTTCTTTTATGAAGTGCCAAATTCAGTTGGTCAATTCTTCATGTAGCCCCGAAAGTTACCTATAATATTCTTTTACAGGTAAATATGTGTTCTACTCTAGCAGAGGTGTTGATCCACGTGGGTGGTTGCCACTGTCCTCCAATTTCGGAATCGGTTTATTTTTACTATAGCTATAAGCAGGGGCCGTAGCCAAAGTTTGATGTTTTTTTTTTTTTTGGGGGGGAGGGCAAATACATGTAATTGATCGACGTCCTGGGGAGGGGTCTAAAAAGTTCAACCGATCTTGGAAAAGATTTTGGGGGCACGTCTTTCCACCCCCTCCCCCCCCCCGAGCCAGCACTCTCCCCGTCCTTTTAGTAATTAAATTGTATGTATATAAACAAAAATGCAAAAACCTGCTTTGTTTGAGAGGAGGTTCTTCAAGCCGGAGATGACGTGGTTTATTCACTTGACTCTCAATCCAGGGGTTGACCATTCGAATCCTAGCCCGGCATTAAGTTAAACGTCCTTTGGCATGATATCAATCTACATTGCCACCCATCACCCAGGTGATGCAATGGCCGATGGGAAGATACTCATCGAATGCCAGAGCGCCTTAAATATTATCAGGGTATCTGGGTTATAATGCATGTGTGATACCTGTAAAACTACAGCGCTTAGAAACATAATAGGCATATCAAGCGCTATGTAAATATTGCTATAATTATTGTTAATATAATGTTATTTGTTACACTTTTTCACCGAACCGTCATATTCAATAACAAATTCGCCGGCAACCATGCAGTGAAAAGCATGTATTTAATTTAACACGCCTTTCGATGGAATATCGGTGAACTTGTATAGGTATGATAGTTTCCTGAAGCGATGCCATGTAGATAGCGTGTATAAAGAATTGAAAATGAAGTCAAATAAAGAAGACAAATATATAAAAAGTCCATTTCCGATTGGTATTTTTGTTCAGATTAAAGCCCCCCTCCCTCATTGTATACTGAGCATTGACAATGTATTATGATCAGAATATTATGAGCAAGTCCAAGACAAGTCCCATCCGTTAACAAGTTTTTAAATTGTATTATGGAATTGTAAACAAAAATTGATATGAATATCAAGTTATTTGATCTGAGAAGTGCTGTTAGCTTGATACAGTCATCAAATAGTTCAACCGCTAATTGTAGTTTTTGTGGAAAGAAATTTATGGTATTTATGTAAGTCATTAGTTTCTTGATAATTGATTGAGATGATTGTTATCACCGTTATCTTTTATTATTATTTTTATTACTACTATTAGTAATAAAAAAGTATGAGACGGGCTATCGAGTTTTGTTTACAGGTGCCTCAAGGCCACACCCCTATCCCAAAGCATAAGCATAACAGCTTGGCCCGTCAGGCGGGGATCCAGGATTTCTTAGGGGTGAGGGCCCAAATTTGAAATCAATTTGAAATTTAGTGCGCTGAAATTTGAAAATCGTGCCGGCCAATATTTCGCTCAGTGGGAGGGGGGGGGGGGGGGGGGAGGGTAGTGAGCACTAATTGGCAGGTCACGAATTGGCGTGAGGTCCAGGGGCGGAGCTCCCGGAAGTTCAGGGGTTTTGGGCAATACATAACGGTCAGATGAGCATAATGTTATATATTATTTGTGACACTGGCAGGACCCGAATTGGTGTTGGGTCCAGTGGGCAGAGCCCCCAGAAGCTCAGGGGTTTTATACATCAAATTATCGTCAGATGTGCATATTTTATACCTTATTTGTGACATTGGCAGATTGCGAATTGATGTGGGGTCTGGGGGCGGAGCCCCCGGAAGCTCAGGGGTTTTGGACAATAAATAACGGTCAGATGAGCATATTTTTATATCTATTTGTGACACTGGCAGGACACAAATTGGTGTTCGGTCCAGGGGCAGAGCCCCCAGAAGCACAGGGGTTTTTATACATTAAATTCTCTTCAGATGAGCATATTTTATACCTTATTTGTGAAACTGACAGGTCACGAATTGGCGTGGGGTCCAGGGGGCGGAGACCCCCGAAAGCTCAGGGGTTTTTGGCAATAAATAGCCGTCAGATGAGCATATTTCTATACCTTATTATTTTGTGACACTGGCAGGACACGAATTGGCTTGGGGTCCAGGGGGCGGAGCCCAAGGAAGCTCAGGGGTTTTGGAGAATAAATTACTGTCAGATAAGCATTATTTCTATACCTTATTTGTGACACTGGCAGGAAACAAATTTGTTTTGGGTTCAGGATGCGGAGCCCTCAGAAGCTTAGAAGTTTATACATCAATTTATCGTCAGATGAGCATAATTTTATAACCTTATTTGTGACACTGGCAGGTCACGAATTGGCGTGCGGTCCAGGAGGCGGAGCCCCCAGAGGCTCAGGGGTGTTAGGCAATATATTACTGGTTTGTTATGGTAGATATGTTATCTATTCAACTACGACGGATACCGGATATTCGGATATCGCATATCGTAAAAGTATTTGCTCGACGTCAGATTACCAATATAGCGAGGTTCTGTGGAAAAAATCACATATCTGCTGACTCTTCATCAGTCATGATTTATTTTGTTTTACGCCACATATTGCATGGAAAAGTTAGAAAAAGAATTAGGGTGGTGTCAGACTTGATAGGGGACAGATCAAATGGCATAATGAAGAAGAAGGATAAAGAGGGATGGAGAAAGAAAGAAACAAGAGGGCTGTGGTGTGTGGACCTGCCCTTGGAAAAACATCTGAGAGAGAGAGAGAGTAATAGCAAGAGAGAGAGAGAGTGAGAGAGTAAGAGCAAGAGAAGGGAGAGAGAGAGAGAGAGAGTGAGAGAGAGAGAGAGAGAGAGGGGTGGGGGAGGGAGAGACCACCCTTTAAACGATCTGCCCTTGGGAGGGAATTGTCCCATAATATGGCATTCCCCCCTAATAAGAGGAAAAATGCTGACTTTTTATAACTGATGATGATGATTTGTTAATTGGGAGAATTAATTCCTGTTTTGGTAACAGGGAAAGTAATCCTCATTAACTAATTGGGAGAATTAATTGTTATTTATTTATTTATAAAGAGAATCAATTCTTTTTGATATCAAATGCTTGGCTATTTCGATATTGTTTTTACCAAATACTATTGTGATTTTGATACAGATGTACTTAGTGTAAATTGAGCTGAACCAACCAACAATAATGGCTAAAGAAAGTTACTATTTATATTGGGATCAAATATTGCATGTACCGGGTATGTTTAAACCATATTATGCACATTTAACTAAGATTGTACTAACTGAAATTATTCTGCTCGTTTTTTGGCCATATCTGGACATATTTAAGTCTTAATTGAGAATTTTCAATTTTATTATAGTATTAATGACTGCTTTGAGAGAAATAGTTGTTTTTATACGCTCAAGGGAAGGTTAGAATTGTGCTATTGCCCCGAGGCGTGCTATTTTACAGAAATAGTTAAAGTTTATGAATGCAATTTCGACCAATCAGATGGCTGGATTTCTTAAGTGAGGTATATAAACATGTCTATGCACATTTTGATATGCAGATATATGTCACATGCATCCATTTCAATTGCGAAATTCAATTTTCAATTATATGTTCATTTATACATGCAGAGGACATCCACCCTGATATTAAGTTGGATTAATAAAATCAGAATTAAAAAATGAGAGAAATGGATGAGTGGAAGTTTGAGTAAAATCTGATGAAGGATAAACAAGTTATGAATTTTTAAAATCATTCTAGGTCAAATACATACAGTGTGACCTCAAAATAAAAAATAAAAAGGAAATTACCCTGTTGCATTCCAACCATGTTTATATCAGGGCTAAACGAAAAATGGAATACAAAGAGGAGGGGCTAGCAAAATCACATTGTTATAATGAGAGTTTGTTTTTATAACAGTGTTCTTATAACATGGTTACCATGCTGCATTGGTCACTATGTCATTTACATTGCCAGCACCATTCCCATGTGTTTTGTACTTAAAGCACATTTAACATTTTCCTGTTTAATGAAGAAGGAATAGATCGGTGTATTCTATAGAAGGGATGTGTACAAATATTATATTCCATGGTACAGGTATAATAAAATATATTCTGTAGAGAAAATAAAAATTTCATTTCAATATTTTGCTATGAAGCAAATGATACGATGGTATAATACAGACTTGCCATCTTTGTGTTTTATTGGTTACGGCTTTAAAATATCTAAAATTTCTTATCTTTAAAGGATTTTCCTCAAAATTTTTCCTGCTTTGTCTCTGAACCAAGATCATATTAGAATGAACCATTTTAATAGTTCAGGGGTATATTCAATCCATTGTGTACACTATTAACAATTATCTTCCATGTGTTTTTCTATTTGATTTCCTGAAAATATATATTTGTATACCTATCTTCACATGATTTAATTAGCTTTTTTTCATCACCTATTGAAATATAGAAATATTACAGTAATGTATTACATATAATCTGAAATGATTTTTAAGGAGTATTGAAATTGCCATGGAGTTTTTTAAAATATTTGCGATAGTCTTAATATATCATGTGATTTAGAAAAAAATATTCCTGGTGCTATTATTCTTGTATCTTAATTGTATTTATTATACATGTATTTTTGAAAGTTTATATTATGGAATATGAGGTATTAAATACTGTGATAGAAATAAAATTATATTTTATCATTATACAAACTTTTAGTTGTATCATGTGTCATATTTTCAAGCTCTCTTAGTTATGTGCACCGGGCAGATGTCTGTGAAAATGTGTTCAGTCCATGAAACAAGTAG